CTACCCAAATACCACTTGATCAAACATGGTTGGGGCAAAAGTAATAATTGCCAATACTGTGCGTTTAGGCGTGGTACGAACATACATAATATCCTTGATGTTTCGGCGCTAAGACAAGCTAAAGTGAAAAAATCAAAGTGAAAGAGAGCTACTTGGTGGCAGAAATAATCGCAAAGCAATCGAAGCCATTCTCAGATTAAGAATTCCTTAAGGAATGTATTGGAATAAAAGAGGTGTTTGCAAAAATAAGTCTGTTAAAACAGACCGTGTTGAAGAGCTTGGGAATTCTACAGCCGCATAAATGGTTGGGAAACACAAGGTTTCATTTTTTTAATAATTGTGAAAGTTTGGTGGGAGGGTATTGCTTTTTTTTTAATATTAACTTGTAGACAGTGTAGCAAAACTAGAACTAAGAAGATTTAAGAAGAAGCGAAAATGCACATATAGTGAATATTACGAGGTGAAGAGAGACGTAAAATTGGTTAACTAGCATAGGGTTGCCATACCGTCCGGAAAATTCTGGACATGTCCGGAATTAGGGGTTAAATTTTGCGTCCGGGAAGAATTTAAAGAATGCTCAAATGTCCGGAATTTTACTGCATCTGCAATCGTACTGTGCACACTGCTAATCAGTGGCGTAGCAAGACGCTCGTGGGTCCCCCTGCAAAAATATTTCGTGGAAATGACCATAAATAAGCTAAAACAACTCTTTTTTTTTTATTTCGTCAAAAAGCATAACATGTCGCTATTAAAAGGCAATGGTAACCTATATTTTGCCAGACTGCCGTCTGGTTCGGACGTGTTTTTGTTGCCCTGTTAGATGAAAGATCAATCAATGCTGTCGGACTGAGAATGCTACGCGCTGTGTGTTTCGGTATTTACTATTAGATTTGTATCTCGTGATATCAACATGATCAAAGCCCATCCACCGGAATTAAAGAAGTTTATGGATAAAAGATTGGATTTAAAGTTTGTGTTTGGCAGTCGTCGGGTGCGGTCGCGTCGCATTTTTGAACGGCGCAGAAAGATTAGATTGACAACAATGAACCAGCACTTAAGGAATATCAACAAGTAAAGGCCGAAATATGAAATTATATGGCAGCATAAAGGCAACATACGGACATCATAACAGAATCGAAAGATGAATACATCAGGGATTGATTCAGATATTTTATTTTGTGACAGAGTATGATATACTGCTATTTCTCGAAATTCCGCTTGAATACTGAGTATTCAACTATATATGTGTAAATAGTTTGCAGTGTAACTTGCAGTGTAACATTTTTAAACATTCATTTAGTGGCATATTTTTGATTTGTTCTCTCTGTGTGTATACCGGTACTGTTTTAACAATGTTGGCCACGTCAATGTATCAATTAGGCTACAGACCTGCTCACGTGTGATTAGTGTTTTTCCTAATAATTGCTTTTATGAGTGTCTGCACACCGAATTTGCCGCCATGGTTTTGCGTTTGTTTGTATATTAAACCACTTATCACCTTTTCCGCAATGCCCAATCTAGCAATCAGTGTAGTTTTTCATGGCTTGGTTTTTCTTAAAGCTTTCATGGCTTCATGAGTATGACTATCGTCGCAAATTTATTACATTCCACTCCCCACATTATCTTTGCATGAGGTTGTAGGTATTGGTCATTATCAACGTAATTGTTGAAAGAGAGTACAACAGCCCGAAAGTTTATTACTATCGTGTATTTTGTTTGTTAAGTTTGGCCCAAGCCTCATTTAATTGGGCTTGTGTTTTTGTGTGCGTGCTGGTGGGCAGGCACATGAGATACTTCATGTGTTAAACTTTTTTGTAGGTTTTGCTTGCCCTCCAGAATTCTCCATTTTTAATTTAGGTTTGTTATGGAGTTTTCGAAATAAACTATCTATCTATCTATCTATCTATTTGCCGTTTATCTTGGTCACTTTAATTGTTTTCATACGTGCTCCCTGATCTTCCCTTTTTCTGCGTTTCTGTGCGCCACTGAGAGGTTTTGCTTTCGACATCATTCTGACAGCCTTCGTAATTTTGCCGGTGCGATCAAACCACAAGACGCCGAAAATCGACGACTCCCTGGCATTGCTACGTAACAAAACGATTTGAGCAGAACAAACATCAACGTTATAAAATGTGCATTACTGGTTTTGCAATGCAGCTTTTGGTTTTGCGGCTTAAATTTCTAAATTCTAACCGCTTGGGCCCCTTTGCGCTATGGGCCCTCCCGCGACCGCGGGGGTCGATGCTACGCCACTGCTGCTAATACAGAACATCGTTATTTCGTACTGTGCGCATATTTTTTACTACGAGGTCTTGAAAATAGTCATGCACTGTCCGGAATTTTGCTTCAAATATGGTGACCCTAAATTTACAGGCGTAGTCAGGTGGCAACAACTCAACCCATTATCCCTTCGCAGTAGATTAAACAGTTGAGATACCGCAATATTAAATTAGCAAACTCCGTGTGAGAACCACATAACACAGAATGCTGTTTGTTGGTCCTATATAGGAATATAGAACCTTGGCGTATAGGAAAATATATCAGCATGATAATACTGTAGGGCCTACAGTGTAGGTTATATATAATGAAGTACTGTAAGGAGGCGGAGTGGAATTTGTAATATGAGAGATAAGCGGGATATCTTAATGATAGCCAAAATTCTTACCGCAATTAATACCCGCTGCTTATCCGCCCTGTATGATTGTATTACAATTACGAATAGATTGTAATACAAATTTCTGTACTAGGCCGAAATTCAAAGTAAATCATCCCGCTATCTACCTTAAATATGAACCATTACGATATAAAAAAAAATATAAAAATGTTCTGCCCAAGTTCAGTACGCCTCGACCATGCGCGGCGGTGTGGCTCATCGTGCTAAGCGTTAGGAATACGCTCGCCGCTGCACCTCTGCATCAGTTCGCAGTTTCCAATCCCATTGCGGGGATGGTCATGTGCGAAAGGATTGCTGGACTCCGCGCCGCCGTTGGGTGGTTCACGTAACCGCTGGTCGGTTATGTGGCTATTTCCATCATCAAGTCCATGCTTCCAAAAAACAAAAAATAAATAACTAATCCCATACCCGACATGGAATGGTAACCGGATGGAAGGCCGTGGTCTCATCGGCACTCCTCTCCTCCGGGATAAATATGTGAATCCTATCCTATCCTGCCGCTAGATGGAGGTATTGAAGCGTAGCTGCGCGAAATATTATCATCGTAGAGTTAATCTAACGTCTCTCTCGCTTTTAGGTATTTGGTTCGGCGATCGAACACCGCTATCCGTACGGCAGTGTATGCGAATCCAAGATCGACAAGACTGTTTCTGTTTTGCATGTCTAGCTCAGTGATGTCGGGCATCGTGCTAAGCGTTACCGTACGGCATTAGGAATGTGCTCGCCATTGCACCTCAGGTGGTTTCGTATCCTGTGCTGTGGGGATAACTACCGGTACCAGTACCGGTACCGTACTTATTACTGGAGGCGCAGTTCTTACCACTTCATGGCAGCTCCTGCCACGAACGAACCGCGGCAGCTCCTGTCATGGTTTTATAGTGCTCTTCCAGTCTTCAGTATTCAGTAATCAGTATTAACGCTGTAACGGTATATTCACAAATTAATGTACCAGATTTTAATTGATCATGCGGAATTATATCTACTTAAAACCCTAACCCCAAATCCACCCAAACTGTATCCATAAAAAAAACGTTTCAACTTACCCAATATTTGTCACAAGAAGGGACAGCCCTGTCTTTACGGCCCACCTGCCGTGGTTACGGCAGCAAAATTTTACCTGCCATTGGTTTTCAATTTGCTGCCGCGGTAACGGCAGCTCGTCATTGGTTTGCGGCAGCTAAAAAGTCAGTCGCCATAGGTTTGGCCGTAGCGGCCATGATATGGAAATACCGCCACGGTTTTGCGGCAGCTGCAGACGCCACAGAATACTTAAAACTGCACTTGTATTACTGTCTGCCGTAAAATCGTTCATGTAGCTGTTGTTTTTTGGAAGTTTACGTCCCCCTACACCCCCAAGTCCAGGCATCTGAAAACAAATAACTGGCCAAGTAATCCCATCCATAGGACAGTAGGATACCGCTACGGTGATGACAAATTCATGGCCCCAAATTAAAAGACATCAATTATGGAAGTGAATCCAAACCCCATCTTTAGGAGACAGTCTGGGCCGGGTCTCGTGTAGTTTCGTACCTAACGTACTTCTAGTAGGCGTAGCATAACAATTTTTCGACATGCCAATCCTAACCCTCACCTGACTATGTCATCCTAAAACTACGTCACAATCACGTCATAGAGCTTGCCAAATACTCGTACGATCGCCCGAAATGGCATGGGCGTCGACGATAAAGAACTGACTAACGTCAGCGATCCCTATTCGTCGAGAAAACGAGAGAAATGGCTGTTCGATTTCGGGTTCTCGTCTGCGCGTCTTGGATGACAGTTCGCATAGATTGAAGGCCTCTATTACGTCACTGTGATGTCGTAGTGACATAATTTTTGGAGTGTGTGGGGTGCTCCCGAAGTATGCGAACCAAGATGGCGGACATCGGAACGTAACATGGGTAACAGGTTAGGGTTAGGCGATAATTTTTTTCCAATTTTCCTTATTTTAGTCCTATTATCAGTTCGAAGACTAGCCAAGAGCCTCCCGTAGCATTTATACTTAAAATTATGGCCTAACGCTAACCTAGTACACATATTACATTCCGATGTCCGCCATCTTGGTTCGCATACTTCGGGAGCCCTGTGTGTGGTCAGGTGGGGGATAGGATTGAAACGTGAAAAAATTGTTATGCTACGCCTACTAGAAGTACGTTAGGTACGAAACTACATGAGACCCGTTTGGGCCTCCGTGCTGATGCAAAACAGCCTTCCAACCTTTTTGGTTCCCCCAGAAAAAAAAAATAACACAAAAAATGTACAAATATGCTCAACAAAAATTCTGCGTTTTATTTCACATTTTAGTTACTTAATATAGAATGACCAAATGACTGAACAAAGCAATAAACAACAATTTGAGAAAAGGGACGCAAAAGCTGGAAACAAAGCAAAATCAGCTACAATTCCTGGAAGCGGTTTACGATCTCTGCGAACAACATCAGTGTTTCGAGCGGTCAATTTCGAACTTTACGCTCGCCCGAACAAAGTTGTTATGGGCCTTGGCCTGACAGCTATAACACTCTGCGTTGGTTATCTTGCATACATGAACGCACAGAGCGAAAACAAGGAATTATATGAAGCATACAACATTGATGGTACAACTCAAATGCAAAGGAAATCTTCAAAGTGGGATTAAATAGCTTTGATTTGAGATTTTTGAAACTGGTTCATCTTTAAGACTAACAAAACGATTCCAACAATTTATTGAACATATAAACAGAGAGAAGGGTATACTTTCATCAAAGCTCGATACTGTATATTGGGGCCCTTATTTTGGGGAAGATTGTCTACAACGTGATCACTGTTATATTTGATTTTATTTCGAGGTCCTTATTACTGTATTATTATTGTGAAAGACTGTTAATTAATCAGTGGTAAATTTAACATTATATTGAAGTCGTTATTATCTTCAAAAGACTGTTTATAAAGTGCTCTTGCTTATTTAGCTCAAAAGTGAAACCTTACACCTTTGGAAGGACTGATTATACAGCTTGTGTTGATATATATATTTGTGTAGAGGCAATATTTCTCCGCCATGAATCTGTTTTGGACAATACTGATCATTAATATTGCCCAGCAGATTGCTCCAATATTTTCCAAGGGAATTGCAAAACTGGTTAGTTATCTTAAGTACAAAGATGCGACATTAAATTTTCGCGCTCAACTCTTAGAATTTGCAGAGAACCAAAAACAGTTGAGCATAATGGATGATTTTGCGAAATACACAAGATACCAACGACAAATGGATAAACTAACGCAAGAAATTGATAGAATGAATCGTGAAAAATCCAAGTTGTATCAGACTGTGCGACTATCTTTACAGTACACGATCCAAGGAATCCTATGGGTTGTTCTTCTATATTTATGTTTTTATTATCGCAGAGACCCTGTGGCATCCGTGCCTAAAGAATGGACATGGTCCATTGCATATATTCTTTCATTTCCTGCTGTCGAACTCGGCGCTGTGTCTTGCATAATTTGGATGATTATTTGCCGAGTTTCAGTGCGAAAATTGTTCTCAAAAGTTTTAAGTGGATAAATGAAAAATAGTGATTCATTCATAAGAGTTCAATAGTCATTTTTCAGTATCTCAATTTCTAATATCTTGAAAAGTGAGCTTTCACTGGCAAGATGACTTACAAAAACCTACCGATATAACTTTTGATTGAACTCTTCATGCTATCCGGTGGCCGAGAAATAGATAATATATAGTACATTGTAATTATGTTCTTATACCCCAAATATTTGAAAATTTTTTGCACGGCCAAACTGCAGAAGTATGAATGTCCCTGTTTTTAAATTGTCAAATAAGTTTCTCCCTCAGCATTTTCAGAGCTTATTTTGTTCTTATGTTCAATTTCACATGTTCGATATTGGCGGTGTCAATTTAAATGTTTTTTTTTTCAAGTTCATAATATTCTACCAATACTGGTTTTCTGTGTTTTGTATAAAGTGGTGCCAAGTAAGGTGCTCTGCTGACTTGTTAATTAATTTTATTGATTTGTAGGTATACACATGTGCCATTGCTCAATCAATTATGTATCAGACCAGCAGTTTTCTGATACATGGCTCACAGATCAGTTGGAAAGGAGCCACAATGCCAGACGCAAATTACTTTTCGCTCTACAAGAAAACTTTCCAGTTTCATTGCTTGATAAGGTTATTTCACAAGGTGTTTTCACTTTGTTGAGCTTGAATTGTTCAAACATAATGGGATTGGAATCTTCCAATTAAAACTACTGTAATGACAAACAGGGCCACGAGTTCTAAAAACCTCCAGAGAGGGCCACAAGCCCTAAAAGGTTTGGAACCACTACACTGGACTTCTTGCCATCATTCGCTTTGAGTTTATTTTATTACAAGCCCAACATAACATGACGTGCTATTACATCCCAATCTTAAGTGAAAAGATATTTTGCTTGTGGTTGAATTGGGCTGAACTATTTTGGATTAGCTGCTGTGCCCACCTATGGTATATGTCAGTGTTCCCCAATCTATGTTTTTTCAACAAGCTTAAAAGTTATCGGTTTTATTTTTTTCGGAAATTGTATTGTTTATTTGATATTGTAGTATAGCTTGTAGTAATTTTTTTTTTTTTAAATTTGGGTCGCTTAAAAAGGTTGGGAACCACTGGTGTATGTAATATACTGATTTCCTGCCCTCCCTAAAATAGTGTCGCATTGTACGTCACTTAATACACATCAGCGTCTATTTTGTATTCGGTTTTGGCTTTTTTTTTTACCAAGTCTTATAGGTGACTGCCACCAAAGGTTGGCGCACATTTTCATTTGCTGCTTCATGCATATACTTTACAAGCTGTTTTTGAATAATTTTTCACAAATGTAATTGTTTTATTCCAATAAAAAATTGCCAGATTTCAGTCTGAATAATTTTTGTTTCAAAGTAGAAATACAAATGTTTGAACCCGAAGCAGGAAAAGAGGGATTTGCTCGTGAACTGCTGGCATCAGGGACTTATACTTTTTCAAATTCATTAAAATCAATGAATTCAGAGTAGAAACGCCAAATTTAAAAATGTTTTCAAAGTTATTGCTCTATCATCGTTTGGAACCTTTTAACCTCAGTGGTCTTCAGGCCTGAACTTTACTCACACTCCTTTGTCTCTGAGTGAGCTTATTTCCTGATCTAACACTGTTAGAAAAGAATCTCTAGAAAATTTAGGTCTGTCTGTCTGTTATATGAACGCGATATCTCACAAAAGCGAGGTTGAATCTGCTCAAAATTTTGCATGTACATTCATCATATCTCGGACCAGAAGCCTATCGATTTTGGATGAATAATGTCGTATAATTAGCAGGTCAATAATTAATAAGTGATGGGACACGCGGTCACTATAAGTTTTCGGTCTCCGACCAATATTCTCGTCTATTGCTTGAAATGAATCTTTCTGATTCAGCATTGCTTCACATTTCATTACATCTTGGCCAAGGTGGGGAGGGGAAGCCTGGGATTTGAACCAGAGAAATGTGATCTGTGATGCCAACACAGTTAAGTCTAACGCTTCACTGGGCCAGGGTAGTCCAAGGTTGTGGGCTCCGCGGGCCACAATAGTACCAGGAATAGGTAAACGGTGCAATACAAAACAAGCACTTCTATTGGTAAACACATTCGATTTTTAGTTTTCTATCATGCCTATATTCCCGACCAAAACGATAGAAATCCAGGTAACAATTTAGACTGCCCATCACATCTTCAACTTTGCTAGTTGCTTCAGCTAGCCATCATACTAGTCAATTCAGTCACAGTGGTGATAACAATATGTCAAACGATTATTCCGATTTATTTTATGGGAAGCAATTTAAAATACGATATTTTGATTACTCCCTGAACGCGGCACGGGCCAAAGATAATGAAGCGGCGGGCCACATGTGACCCGTGGGCCTAGGTTTGGACTACCCTGCACTGGGCCATTGTAAGACGATCTATACCTCGATTGACATGGATGGTAAAGAAAATTGTAGCCAGGTGTTATGTGAACCAACCTGCAAAGATGTGCTCTGATTTAACACTGTCTGAAAAAAATGGCTGGAGAATTTAAGAGCTGTGACAAGAGTATAACTAAACCCAAAACAGCGCTCCCAGAAGTGTGTGTACCAATATGGAGGTAACTAATTTTGTTAGCCGACATTACTTCAAGTTGTGTAAAGGGACGGAGGCCTATGGACAGGGGTATATTCACTTGGCTAACACAGACAGTACCCGAACTCGTAATGGAATTAAAATGGGGAAAATAGGAATGAAATTATACCCTAACCTGGTACACACACAAGAAAAGTATCCCCAAAACTGCTGTTCTACTGGTGAAAACAATATTTCAATAAAAGAGTCACAAAAAATGAAACACGTTTGGACATTTATTGCTCCGGTTTTGGGTTAAGAGCGTAAAAATATGAAGAAATTCAACGACATTTTACAGTAACTTTACTTTATTTTTTCTTAGCTGGCGAGGCATTTTTATAGGTACTCTGAGTGATGTCACATGCTCTCAATCAGAAATGAAGAAGACTCATTTCTGGAGAGAAGTATGGACAAACACTCGAATACCAAGGGCAACTGAAAGTGAATGGTAACCCATTGGGTGGACCACAGCATATCAGTTAGAATCCTTACCCTGGGTCACAGACTGATAAAACTCCATGAAAAAATTTGAGCAAACGACAAACATATGGGCGATGCATACCAAGCCTAAACTTGCCAAGATCGAATATTAAATAATTTTATTCGAAGACAAATACACTTCTAATATAGAATCGGATATATGCCAGAATATGTGAAAATTTTGAACATCCTTTTCAAGTCGGCATTCAATTTTTCAAACAGATTTGAGCACAAACAATATATTCAGCATGCCAGTAGTCATTTTTTAAAACAGTCTGCTAACAGAATGCCATTAATTGCACTAAAAATACAATAAAATTACGGGGCTCCCGAAGTATGCGAACCAAGATGGCGGACATCGGAATATAATATGTGTACTAGGTTAGGGTTAGGCCATAATTTTAGTATAAATACTACGGGATGCTCTTGGCTAGTCTTCGAACTGATAATATGACTAAAATAAGGAAAATTGGAAAAAAAATTATCGCCTAACCCTAACCTGTTACCCATGTTACGTTCCGATGTCCGCCATCTTAGTTCGCATACTTCGGGAGCACCAAAATTACTTTAAATTATCAAAAAATGGTCAATTTAAGCAAAAATTATAAAACTTCTAAATCAATGTGTCTTAGGCCGGGATTGTTTCTTTTTAAATCACCCTCCAATCTGTCCACTTGCATTCCTAACGTATCTATAATTTTTTCACCGTGGTTTAGCAAAAATATTTCCAACTCTTTTTCAGAGTCAATGTTATTGCATTCATTCATAATTTTTTGAAAGTCTTGAGATTCTAAGTAAGCTCTTGTTACTTCACGTCCATCAAAATCAATTTCCGCTTTAAATTTGAATTCGCTGTAGCCAAGTTGTGTTGCTTTGATATCGTAAAGACCACGAATCACGGCGTCATCCTCCAATTGTTCTTGAAGCTCGTCTAAACGATTTTGCGGAATTGATTGTCCAATCAGAGCCTCTACATTGCTGCGAACTAAAAATGTAGCGACAAGTCCTAACAGTCCACCAATGGCGATCGATCCCACACAATCATAAATAGGATTTTGCATGTACTGAGCGCAAGCTAATGCGACGCCAGCTATCCCGACACCTAAAACGGCACAAGAATCTTCTAATAGAACGACATTAGTACTAGGGTCTTGCGATGATCGAACATAATTCCAAAATGACATTCCTTGTTTCGCAGCGTTGTGTTTCGTTTCATCTATAGCTACGATTAGTGAAGCAGACTCCACAAGAGCGGAGCCTGCAAGAACTCCAAACGCACCGAAACTTGTGACACTGTCAAGTGAATGACCAGCGGACATCGTAGTGATTCCATGGTAGATACTAGCCCCACATCCTATGCAAAAAATGCCCACCCCCGAAATAAGGGACACTATATATCTCATGTTACCAAACCCATATGGGTGGGCCTCGTCTGGAATTTTCATAGATTTATAAACCCCCCATAATAAAAGAAGTTGATTGCCCATGTCTGCGAATGAATGTAGAGTTTCTGAGAACATACTTGCTGACCCAGTCCAAAGCCAACAAGAAAATTTCGTGAGACAAATAACCCCGTTTGCCGCCGCTGCAACAGCCACCACTCTACCAGGTCCGGTTTTAAACAACTTTTTTGCGTCTACGTTAATTTCTTCTTTATTAACAAAAGTCCAATCGAGATAATTTTTCTGCTTTTGTTTGAGTCTTTTTATCCGTTTTTGTTCCAATTCGAGATTTTCTTTATTTCCGTGAACCTCCATTGCTTTCTTAATTATATCTCTTTCCAAGTATACCAAGAGATGGCCGGCACCATCCCGATACGGACTGCGTATTTTTATAAGTTTTAAATCTTGGAGGTCGCTTGGTTTGAGTACGTATTCCTGCATCGCTCGCACAGCCGTTACAGTATTGTTATCCGTATATTTTTTGGAAAAGTCCCGCCTCATTCGAATATATTCTTTCACAGTAGCTACAACAGTTTTTTTATCATCTTTTGATAAATTTTCAGTTTTTGTTGAGTCGTGAACATTTTCAGATTCTTGCAGAATTTGAAAGGTCTGTTCAGGCAGTTTCGGGTCTATTTTTGGGGCTGAGATTCTGTCGATTTTCGACTCAGGTTTTGAATTTGAAGAATGGAAAGGTGTGGTCTGAAAATGTCGAGCCCCACATATTTCTGGAATTAAACGTCTCTGTGACTTGAGGATTCCTTTTGCAAAATATTTTTGATATTTTAAGATGACGAGAACTGGAGATTGTGTTGCCATATTATTTACAATATAAAGTTCCAGTTTTTAAACTAGAATTGATGATATTATATTATTTACTGCATTCAAGTTGACAAATAGCAAATATTTATTTGATATCAATTCTCTCTTCGTCTGGCAAATATTTATTCAACTCGTCAAGGAGGTTGAAGGTCGTATCTAGGTTCATTCGTACTCTTTTCAAACTTGAAGAAATCTCGTCAATTTTTCTCATGTGTTCAGCGTACTTTGCAAATGCTTTTTGTCGCTCAGTGTATTTTTGCATTATCTGGCAAGCCTGTGCATCTACTTGCTTAATTTGTGAAGCCAAAGAATTCTGAAACAAAAATATGAGAATGTTTTAGATCGATGCTTGGGTATACGCTTTATATCTATCCTGAAAAGAAAATATGATAATTGCGACAAGCCATAACCTCTTTTTCAATCACCAGTCCATATCTGAATGGTTATTTAGTTAATTTGGAATATGCATAGACTTGGAAACAAAAAAGGAAAAAATTTTATGTCATTGATTCAATAGGATTTCACTATTTATCCAGTGGAAAGGGGTTACTTTGGCAATAATTATTACACACAAAAATAAAACGGAAAACTCTAGGAAGCGAAAAAAAACTTTAAAAAAGTTTGAAACAATAGAAGCCCTCTGACCAACACACAAAGAATCAGGCAACAAGCACAAGCTTACATAAACGGCCTAACAAAAAAATATTGCAAATGTTTTAAAGTTTGAGCAGTTGTACTTTGAAAACATGTAAGCTCATAATGCAGTAATGACCGAGTATGTAAGGTGATTCAGCCAGTTTACTAATACTAATAATGAATTGATTATGAAAATTAAAAATAAACAATCAACCTGATCAGACGAGACTGCTTCTGCACATTTATGCAAATGTTCTTGAATCCTTGTGCTAACTTTAAGGGCCGCTTTCCAGTCTAACTGACCCACAAGCTCACCCTGTTGTGGTCTTCCTTCGCCACTTCCTTGAGACTGAAAAATAGGCTGAAACGAGGGACAAGTGTCTAGCCGTGTAATATAATTATCCAAATAATTTCCCGAAAGTTCTGGCTCTTTTGTCCCAACGACAACAATTCCTGATGTCTTTGTTGAAGCCCGCTGGCTTTCTGCAGTTCTCTGTGACGCTTTCACACTCTGGGGCGCGGTCTGTGAAGCGCTTTGTTCATTTCCCATACTCTACATGGTATTAGGGCAATAAAATAGCATCTGAGAAAGAGATAAAGCGCAATAATTAACACGTTAAATCATAAAACAATATAACAAGCCATATAATTAGAGCCTTACGATAAAGTAGCGCAATTGATGAAACCTATAAAGTTAGTGTTGCCATATTTTCAATTATATTGCTTTCTATAAATTTTAAAAGCTACACCTGCTCTTAAATTTTTCGTTAGCAATTGAACCCTCAAAGTAAAATTCAATAAATTTAACTTTCAGTTCTCATTTTTAAAAACACAACTAATGAGCTGTGTAGAAGAAAAAAAGCAGACAATGTACGCGTATCATTACACACAAATACGGTTACGCTTGTTTATTCGATGTAAAGTTTGGCAACGCAATCTTCCATAATGCAATGGTGCGTGACAGTTAGAAGTATTACTTACTTTATCATAGATGAATAAGACTTTCTTTTGCGAAGCTCAGACCTGGAACTTGGAAAATATTTGAATATTAAAAAGATCTATAAAATACCTACTAATTTAAACGATAGTGGTGTTTCACCCCACAAGGCTTAACGGTCGAAATATTAACAATTTTTTCTGCCTACGCAGAATGTTATATATTTGGTATATGTATCAAACTAATTAAACAGGCTTACTGTCGTTCTTTATACATTATTAAAATAATATAAACCACAAAAAACTAAAATATATCACTGAAAACACGGAGCCACGCCTACATGGTCCACTGACTCCGTTGTCATCGATGTATGCCATAACAACCGTTACTAAGGCCTTATTGAAAATTATTTTTCGTGACTTTCAGCGTTTTCGAGTCCTTAGATTTGGAACTTGAACGTTTTCTCCAAATTTATGGCAATTGTGAATGATAAGACTGTACTGAAGATTAACCTAAGGTTTTATTTTTATGAATTCTTTTAGAGCTGAGCTGATTTAGGTGTCGTTTTAAATTCAATCTAACTCTTTGAAAAATATTTGGCTGGATATAGCATTATGGTTCGAATAACGGAACAGTTGATTCGAAAAAGAGCGGAGCATAATGAATGTGAGATATATACTCTGGAAGAAATATCTCTTCATCAGCAAGACATTGAAAAAATTGAATATTTAGACAAATGGTGTAAAGATTTGAAGATATTGTATCTCCAGAGCAATCTCATTGATAAAATTGAAAATGTTGGAAAATTAAAGAAATTGGAATACCTGAATTTAGCTTTGAATAATGTTGCGAAGATTGAGAACATGCAAGGATGCGAGTCATTACAAAAACTAGATTTAACTTTGAATTTTGTTAGCGAAGTTACAACAATTGAATCGCTACGCTCAAACTATTTTTTAGAAGAAATTTATCTCACAGGGAATCCGTGTGTCAATTTTGAAGGTTACAGACAATACGTTATTGCGGCATTACCTCAGTTGCAAAGACTCGATGGCCAAACAATTGAAAAATCTGAAAGAATTCAAGCGTGTCAGGATTTTGATTCTATTCGACTGAAAATATTACAGCAACAAAAAGAATACGAATCAAAAAAAACTGATGATGAAAAACAATCGCAAAGCTCTGGAAATGATGCAGAATCTAAGTCAGAAGATAATGATAAAACAGAAGAAGAAAATGCTGATTTTTGGAACAGTAAATGTGACTATACCCCAGAAAGTAGAAAAGAAATGCATTCAAAAATGAAAGAAAACCGTGAAAAGAAATCAAAACCAATGTTTGAAAAACCAGAATTTAAACGGACGAGACGATATTTTAACGATGCAGGTGATCCAATGAACATTAATGAAGGCAAAGTTGATTTTTCTCTGACTGAAACAGAAGATGATTCAGCGTTTGTATTGGACGTCGCTTGTTTTAAATATCTTGATACGTCACTAATTGATGTCGACGTTCAACCAAAATACGTCAAGGTCACCTTGAAAAGTGATGTTTTGCAGCTGGTGTTGCAAGATGAAGTTTTGACAGATAAATCCACAGCTCAGCGATCACAGACCACTGGCCACCTAGTGGTCACTATGCCTAAATTGAACCCCCCACCAAAACCGATTCAAACAACAAATAAACCCGATACAAAATTGAAGAAAAATTCATCTAAAAATGTAAAAGATAATAAAAAGACCAAAAATATTGAGACGTTAGAATATGACTCTTCCAAATCTATGCAAAATACTCTTGCCAATATAACAAAAGAGGAAAAACATCAATCGAAAGGGCCGTTAACTTTGAAAAGCAAGAAGAAACTGGTTAATAAGGAACAGATGATTCAAAGTGATGATTTTATCGACAACCCAGATGTTCCGCCACTTATATGAATATTGCTGTGTGAGACACTGAAGAGGAAAACCAATAAGGCAGCTAAATATTCATTTATCCGACCACCTTATATCCAACATTGTTCCAAAGTGATGTAAAATGGTGTTTTAGTAATTAGAAATCAGCTTTCATAAATTAAATGAGAGTCTTTGTAGTAATATTGTTAGATTTCAATTGTTTGAAATAATAATTTTTCAAATGAAACAATTCCAGATTTTTCGTATACTCAATATAATATGAATATAAATTAGAATATTTGAACGGGTCTTACTACTTACTGAATACAGCGCAAAACACCGCAAAGAGCGCGAAACAGCGCAAAAGAGTGCGAAACAGCGCAAAAGAGAGGAAAACAGCGCGAAACAGAAGGAAACCAGCGCAAAACAGAGGGAAACAGCGCAAAACAGGAGACGCAGTCATTACCACCTCCTGCCACGAAAGAACCACGGCGCCTCTCGCCATGGTTTTATGGCGCTATTTCCGGCATATTTACAAGGTTATGTATCGGATTATAGGTCATCATGCGAAATTTCATCTACCTTTTTGGTGCTCCAGAAGTATGTGCAGCAATATGTCGCACAACCTGAATTTGCTACACACACACACACATACTATTTTCAGGTTGTGCGCCATCTTGGTGCACATACGTCTGGAGGTCCCTTTTTACCTAACTCTAACCCTAAAGCCAACCATATCCATATGGAAATTGTTCTAAATTATGGTACCCAAAATGTGTCACCAGCAGGGGCAGACCTGCCATTACAGCATTACTGGCTACATACGTTGGTTTGTGTTTTTAATTTGCTGCCGTGGTACTCCAACTCAAAACAAGGTGCCCCGAACTCATTGCAAAATTTTTTTCTGCTTCACACTGTTTCCCTCTGTTTTGCGTTCTTTCGCGCTGTTTTGCGCTGTTTCCCTCTGTTTTGCGCTGTTTTGTGCTGTTTTGCGCTCTTTGCGGTGTTTCGTGCTGTATTCAGTGAGTAGTAAGACCGTATTTGAACTATTTTAGATATCCATGGTCCCAAGTAATCATAATAAAAGTAAAAGTTACATTTGACAACCATTTTATCTCAAAATTCATGTTCTTTACATAACTTCACAAACTAAACCTATTTTCAATATTGTATACATATTGTTATATGTATTTATTTGTGGCCTCTACTGATGTTTTCTATTGGTAGCCTATTTCCATTTGTATGTTTCATAATATTGCTGCTATTGTATTTTTAATGTTTGAAAATGTTCTTGTATGGAATTATGTAGTTTGCTGTTAGTACATTTTTAAGGGTTTTGGTGCTACTTTGGTATGCGATCTCAGTGTCATAAAACTACTCTGGTATCGGATCTCACTTAAAAAACATGATTGTAATTGCCTACCGGAATGGCGTGAATTTCGAAATTGCTTATTGTGCATTTGCATAGCTCTGTTTATATCATTTTTTTTGTATGAAAGCATGTGCTGGTAGTTTGCTGTTGGTATATTTCTGAAAATTCTGAAAAAAATCTCATTTTGAGATTTTACCCTAACCCTATCTATATTAATGTTTGTTTGTACAAAGGCGTCAAATGTAACAGTCTCAATTGTAAATTCAATTTTGTCTTTTTTGTATGTTCAGCATATTTTATCGCTAAATATTTCATATCTTAACTTCTTATATCATCAAAATGACAACAACCAGAGCTGACGGGCTGCCTTTTCTTCCTGGGAATACATTCAAAGATCCCACGGTAATTTAATTGGCTTAAAATAGTGAATTTCGTGTGAGTTTTTTCCAAGAAATTCAGATATGTGAAGTTTGCTATCTCATGGCTGTTTTCTTGAAAAGATTGACTTGACCTACTTTTAGTATTTTTGAGTCAATCGATTTTTAGTGTCACAGAATTCTGCGCTATAATGATTAATAGCTCAACAGCAGGGGTCTCGAACTCGCGGCCTGTGGGCCAATTGCAGCCCGCAGGATGATAGTTTGTGGCCCCCGCCTTGGTATTAAAGTTTAATGTTAGTGCGGCCCGCAAGTCACTTAGAATGCTTAGAATGCTTTCAATATAACAGCGCTTCCCAAACTGTGTTCCGCTGAACACTAATGTTCCGCTTCCGAGTGTTGCGTGGAAAAGGAATCAAAAATACATATAAGTTGGTCACCGTGGTGTTCTGAGAATCATGAAGCGACAAAATTAAGTTTGAAACCCCTGCTCAATAGCTATCTGCATTTCAGTGCTTGTCTCTGTAACTTTGCTTCTATTATTGAGCAAATTTCTGTTTAAAAGTGCTAAATATAAGTTTCAGAACCCTGGTGTAGAATACTTTGTATGTTACTATTTGGATTTTTATTACTCTTCTTTTCTCTTCCCAGAAAACTCGATTCCATGTTTCCAATACGCTCGGATTCAAGAATGGATACGCAATCCAACAGAGACCAACAGTTGGACTTGGAGGTAGCTTTTGTTGCACAGATTTATTGTATTTATTGTTTTAAATATTTTTATATGACTTTTTTTACTTTTTTTTCGCTTCGAACTAAGCTCTTTACTAGCATCAACGGATGTGTTAGGACAGGGGTTCTCAAACTTTTGGTGTTGCGGAGCCCTTGGAAAGGTTGACTATTATTCACGGAGCCCCAACATAAACGTAAAAATTGTTACTTTCCGATTAATCTTCCTGAGTAAGTTAAACGTGCTTTACTCAATTGAAATACTAAACCCTTTCAATAGGGTTAATACAAGTCATAAATAAATCTAAATTTCAAAGATAAATTGTACATATTAGGGCTGTAAATTAGGGGTCGATTCTTTTCTCCTCTTGACATTTTTGGAAGACTTAAAAGGCCGCTAATAACGTGCGCGATTGCATTTTGTTACAATCGCCGATTGTTTTCGTCAGCATGGCGTGTTTTTAAATCTCAAACATCTTTACGCCGGTGTTTATTCTCCCTAAATCAAAAATTTCCCTCGGCATATACATGTTTTGTTCCACAATGACGACGATAAATGCTTTTCCGTTCTCGTGGGGAATTATGAGTTCAATGTGAAAAACATGTTACCATAATATAATCATCGGCGACGAAATACAACAAAATAATAGTTAATAAAGAGGTAAATCCGCAATTCAAATTTCTTGATTGAAAAGCGGCGTTCTAAAATATTAGAACTAAAATTTAAAATGGAAGATAACACTATAAGTTTAGTTTCAGCAGACTCACATCAGAATAAAAACGCTTTTATAGACATTGTAAATCACAAAATTTGGTGTTATGTTAGGTTTTCTTCGGTTATTCATCGTAGTAACTGCGAAATTGAAACACAGTCAATTAATTATGCGCACGATGTACCATTTTTCCATTCTGAAACTACCGACGGAGCCGCATGCACCAAAATAAATTTTGCCAAGACCTTGTGATTTTTCAAACGGCGATATCTTGCTTAAAAATAATCTCGAGTGCGAAAGAACAAATCAAATTTAACAAATCCCAAGTTCGCAAAAATACGACTCCAATTTATTTATAGTTGGCATTTTATCACGCAGTTTATGTTATTTTACAATAGTATTTTTTCATTTCAGTAATCCTAATGGTAGTCTCGAACGTGAGTAACGATGAGCACAATTAAATTATTGCGACAAGACACTTTAAATGCTCGCAACGGTAATGAATTGAACATTTTACGCAACAGAAATCTCCTTATTCGTTTTTTTTTTAATCGCAAAGAATGTTGCGCTGAAGTTTCCGATTCCAATTGTGAACCTCCTCCCTCTTAAGAATCCTGGCTGCGCTCCTGCTTATAAATAATGTCATTTTAATTCCGTCACTTTGCCATATTTCGAGGCTATATTGTTGTCAAATTTTATCAAAGCTGTTATTGCTTCTAGGAAAAGTTTTGAATTAGCCAAGTCAGTATTTTGAAAAGTAATAGAATAGCTCGCGGAGCCCCTGGTTTTCTCTCGCGGAGCCCTGGGGCTCCGTACGGAGCACTTTGAGAACCTATGTGTTAGGAGATATTTTTTGCAATAACCAGAATATTTCCAGTTCACCACGGCTCGCCCTTTCATTACACCTGTAGCAAGGAGGCAGGTATATGATGTATGTATGGCTGGGGGTCACTGCAACCAGGGTAATTTTGGGGGTCGAATATTCAATACAGTCGTTTTCAAACTTTTCAACCCGCGCGCCCCCTTTTAGAATACGTCAAGTCTCGCACTCCACCTCAAAAATACCCAGCTAACAATAAGCTACAAATAACAGTTAGTAAGGCAAAAGTATGTTTTATTAAAAAAACACGTTGAAAATATGTGGATGGAACATATAATGAAATGGGGCTCTCGAAGTATGCGAACCAAGATGGCGGACATCGGAATGTAATATGTGTACTAGGTTAGGGTTAGGCCATAACTTTAGGTATAAATACTACGGGAGGCTCTTGGCTAGTCTTCGAACTGAGAATAGGACTAAAATAAGGAAAATTGGAAAAAAATTATCGCCTAACCCTAATTTGTTACCCATGTTACGTTCCGATGTCCGCTATCTTGGTTCGCATACTTCGAGAGCACCAATGAAATTAATCAAATTTTTTAAAACAAATAGGGCAGGCAAAATCAAATATACCGAATATTTTTATTTTTAATCGAACCCACGCCCCCTCAAAAAATTGTGGAGCGTCTCACCATTTAAGAATCATTGATTCAATACAATTTATTATTCAATGAACCAAATCTCTTCCCAGGTGAAAGGCTGGTTCACAACCAGTTATCAGAAGCAGAACTTGATGAATTGGCCAAGAAGATGCCGACACTGACGTATGGACAAGCGAAACAAGCTCCTCCTGAAACATTCGTACCAGCTCATCTCGCTTTTGATAAAAAGGTATTCTGGCACTTGCAGTTTGAATACTAGTTTACAATGGTCTGGATTTACCGGAGTGCCACGAGTGCCTCGTGTGAATATTTTGTTCTATATAATTTACATTTACCTTAGGTTTAATATTATTGATTTAGTTTTTTTCATGTCTTGTTCTCCTATCTAGGGTGTCGCTGCTCGATAATCATTATTGGTTTTTGTGGGTCTCCCCGCTTACTGGAATTCTACAATGTATATGAACAAAATGTTTTCCAGCATTGGTGAAAAAATAAATTACTGAATACCTGACCTTATAATCTAATTTTTCAACCAGGTTACCCATTGACAATTTAACACAGTCACCTGTTCAACTATTTTAACCTTTTTTCACCCAGGTTCTAAAGTACAAAGCGTACTTCAAAGAAACAGTTCACGAAAGTGCGTCTGAGTTTTACCGAGTTCGTCCAGTCGATATCTACTATTACCTGGAAGATGACAGTATAGCTGTCGTTGAACCGGCTGTTGAGAACTCAGGAATGCCTCAGGTTTGTAACCAAATGTGAATATATTTACTTTGTTACTTATCGATCTTAAGATCGGTAAGTATATTGATAGGTATTTGTCTGTATGTATGTCTGTGTGTGTGTCTGTTAGATGAACGCGATATCTCGCGAACGCGTGGTTGAATCTGCTCCAAATTTTGCATGTGCATGCATCTCACCTCGGACCAGAAGCCTATAGATTTTGGGTTAATTATGTCGTAAAATTAGCGAGTTATTAACTAATTACCGATCTAAGATCGATAAGTCTTCGGTCTCCGACCGATATTCTCGTTTAAATGATTGGCACATCGTGTTGAGCATTAGGAACAGGCTTGCACAGTTTGTCTTGGGTATTATAATGTGCGAGATGATTGCTGGCTTGCTGGACTCCTCACCATCATAAAGTGGTCAAACCAATAATAAAGGTCTCTCCTTATGTTTCAGTGGCTGCCTGGCCATAGTCTTGTTTTGCGCATAGTTGTAAAAACTTAATCAAAAATAAGAATAATTTTTCGAACAAGAATTTTTTTTCAATCTCACTATTGATATACCGATAGTAGCTCCTTTTTATCAGTGAACGATACCTCTATTTCATTTATGAAACAATGAGATTTGGTTATTGCGGAACAGGGTAATGGTCGATGTTAGTAGCTTCCACATATTTGATATAGAATGGGCAAAAATTGTTCGAACAATGTCTGACAAAGGGAGGCAGGCTACATGCAACGCTGGTATTTGTCCAACAGGATTTTCGCTATTAACTCCATTTGAATGAAAGGAAAGCTCCTCGGCCTGGCTGTTTGTACACACTGCGTTAATTCCACCCTAACCCTCTGTTAAAAAAATCCTGGCTGCTTTTCTGTCAGTGGCCGTTCACTCGCATGTAACTTTATTCAGGACAAATTTATGAAAATCTTTTTTTGTTTCAATCTAAAAATATTCTTCAATTTCAGGGCAAGTTGATCAAGAGACAACGACTCCCTAAGAACGACCAAGGAGACAACTGGCATTGGAAGGATTTGAATCTTGGGATGAACGTGACGTTTTATGGAAAAGTATTCAGACTGACAAACTGTGACAAGTTTACAGCTGTGAGTTGGATGTTTACTCAACTCAAAATAACATAAGCTTGGAATATTTGGTTTGGTCCCAGTTTCTGCTTTTTGAAACACTGTGGAGTTGTAGAAAAGTTATTCGATTCTTAAGGCTCTGATACAATTAAACACAGAATGAGCACTATTCACTTTGTTGTCAAGATTTAAATGGGAAGTATGCGCACCAAAATGGCACACTACCTGAACTCACGTTGTGTACCAGGTTAGGGTTCAGGTTAAGCGACATCTTGGTGCGCATACTTCATGAGTATCTCCAAATGTTTCAATTCCAAATATATTTACTGCCAAAAAGCATGACAGTGGAGCCTGACTTTTGGCATTTTTATTGGCATGGAAGTCGGAGTTGTATTTTCAAAGTCGTCTGAGCTGAAGTAAAAATATAAAAAAAGTTAATATTGAAATTAAACAAGCAACAGGCTAAGGATCCTCAACATATCCATAAAAAATACTTTTGTATACCAAGCTTTTTTTCAAAATTTGTTTGCCCTACGATTAAGCCGTCCAAACGACTTTCCTCTTCTGTGGGATAAATATGTGAATCCTATTTTATCTGACATTATGAATTTCTGAGTAATCATATTTTTTGTTCCAGGACTTCATGGAAAGTGAAGGTTTGATTCTGAGTTCCCCAGAGTCGATACCAAGTGATCCGTACACACAATCTCGAAGACAGCCACTGCGTTCATACACCACTCCCTCTGACTTCGATAAATTGAAGAAATTTTTGAAATTGGACAGGAAGGTATAGTTGGAGCCATGGATTATTTTATTAAATGTTTTTTGTGGTTGGAAAAAATGCTTATGATTTTAACTCGTTTTCAAGTTTTGGTAGGGTTTATAATTTATTAGGCCCCAAGTGGCTACAGTAATGTTCAAGGCATCGGCAAGTCTCTTAAAACTGGGGTAGGTAAGGTTTTGCTCATCTAGACCTGCAGGCAGTGTTCCCTCTAAAGTGTACGCGCGCACGCAGCTTTCTGAGGCCGCACACACGCATAGATTTACTGCGCACAGACGTATTTCGATGTAATGTAACAATGTTCTCGGTTGGCAGGTTGAGAAAGTTTGTTGTTGGCTCACTTTTTACCCGGTTAGAACGCCAAAATTTCTTCATTGATTTTTGCACAAATATTAGTCATTTCCAAAAAAGTGCGCACACACCAAAATTTCTGCGCACACATACTACAAAAAATTAGAGGGAACATTGCCTGCAGGCCATATAATTAGGTCGTAAAAAGTTTAATTTTGTGAACAATATTCACAGATTATCATTAGAGGTTGCGCGAGACTAAATTCCAATATTTCCAGAATTACAAAAAGGGAGAAAACAATAAGCCACGTGCCAAAACTAAATTTAATCGCAATCTCAACAGATTCCATGAGCTATTTTTAAGCTAAAACATCAGAACTCAGTTTTAGGGTGGTCGTGGCAGCATCATTTGGCCCGAGGGCCGCACTTGGCCCATTTCAGCTCTTGAATGTTCCATTGTGGTTCCGCCCCGCGAAAAAGGTTGAAAATGACTGCATTACACAACACACTATAAAGCCTCGGGGTCAGGTTCTTCGCTCTGATTGCGTGTTGGACGAAGGCTATGTTTCAGAAAACTATCTGTTTTTTAATTTGAAGTTTTTAAATAGTTTTAATAAAGTTTTTAAACACTGTAGTTGTCTTTACAACAAATGTGTCATATACAGGGTGTCCATAAAGTCCCTTTACAATTTCAATTTTGTTTTTTAAAGTCAGTTCTCAATATATCTTATTCAGGTTTGCTGTTCTTAATCAGTAATTGTTAAGTATTTTTACTTGATTTAATACATTTGTGAGGGTATCGATAATTCCCTTTGCAATTTTAAAAAATTCAAGACTTCATGGACAACCTATACTTCTCAAAAATCGGGGTAGTAAAGTGCCATTTTCTTATTATTGTCATTTCCTCACATCCAGGTTCTTCGCTTCTATTGCGTGTGGGACGATCGTGACGCCATGTTCGGTGAGATGCGACCGTTCGTACTTCATTATTTCTTGGTGGATGACACAATCGAAATCCGTGAAGTTCATGAACCAAACGATGGACGAGATCCTTTCCCTGTGTTGCTGAGGAGACAAAGACTCCCTATTGATAGATATGACGTTGAATGTAAGTAGATAAAAGAATACACACATGTCACCCTTTATTATATATATTAGGAAAGGATAGGAGTGACATATTTATCCCGAGGGAGAGGAAAGCCGATAAGGCCGTTCAAGCATATGGCATACCACAGCCTTTTGTCCGGTTACCAGTCCATGTCGGGTATGGGATTATTTAGTTACTTGTTTTTCGGAAGCATGGACTTGATGGTGGAGGAAGCCGTAAACGACCAGCGGTTACGATTACGTAAACCGCCCAACGGCGGCGAGGAGTCCAGCAATTCTCTTGCACATACTGTAACTCTCTCCGCATGGGATTCAAACCTGCGAACAGAGCTTCTTTAACTGGTGGCCCTTGCGGAAACGCACAACAAATTTTGGGGGCCGCAAAGAGTATATCAACTTCACACAAGGTACTCTATCAATTGTACTTTTTTTGGCTTTTGATTCGAAACACAATTATTAAAACTAGTGCAAAACATAAATCTTATGATTTTGAGGGAATACATATGATCAGAGAAGCGGCGCGCTTGCATAACAATGCAGACTTAACAAGGGTGGCAGAAAAATTTAATATATTGGAAATGGTCGCGGGCTTAAAAGTTTGGAACTCCCTTAGTTACGGCTTCCTCCACCAATGTATTTCATACATATGGAATTTCGTACCTAACGTACTTCTAGTAGGCGTAGCATAACAATTTTTTGACATGCCAATCCTAACCCTCACCTGACTACGCCATCCAAAAATTACGTCACTACGACGTCACAATCACGTCATAGAGCTTGCCAAATACTCGTATGATCGCCGAAATAGCATCGGCGCCGACGATAAAGAACTGACTGACGTCAGCGACCTCTCTCCTATCGGGATCGTTGCGACGAGAAAACGAGAGAAATGGCTGTTCGATTTCGGGTTCTCGTCTGCGCGTCTTGGATGACAGTTCGCATAGTTTGAAGGGCTCTATTACCTCACTGTGACGTCGTAGTGACGTAATTTTTGGATGGTGTGGTCAGGTGGGGGTTGGGATTGATATGTAAAAAAATTGTCATGTTACGTCCACTAGAAGTATGTTAGGTAAGAAACTACATGAGACCCACTGTGTTTTCCAATATATATATATATAAGCTGTCCTATTGGCCTGCCTCTCCCCCAGGTAAATAAGAAAATCCCATTCATATCCTTATCCTAACTCTCAATATTCTCGTCTATTCAGTAATATGAAGTGCATTTTGATCTCTGTATTTTATTATTCCTGCTGCCTACTGATTTCATTGTAACCTGATAGCAAAGAGGAAACTGATATTCAATTCAATCGGCATATTATCTTACAGTATCGCTGAAGCATGACTAAGAGTCAAAGGTCAAATTTTATAAAACAAGCATTAGGCCAAAGGTCATACTTATTCAACCGTAACTAATTATTTTCAGCGTCCTTCCCAATGGTAGTTATGGAACTATCAGACCATGAAGTAAAGCAATGGTTCAATCCGTCAGACTTTGGAATTGGAAAGACGTTGTTCATTTATGGAAGAAGATTCCTCATCTATGATTGCGATAACTTCACGAAAAAGTAAGTAGAAAGGTTTTTATATTGGGAGGAGGTGATAGGATAGGTTATGTGAATAACAGTATATTGGGTGCTCCCGAAGTATGTGAACCAAGATGGCAGACATCGGAACGTAACATGGGTAACAGGTTAGGGTTAGGCGATAATTTTTTTCCAATTTTCCTTATTTTAGTCCTATTATCAGTTCGAAGACTAGCCAAGAGCCTCCCGTAGTATTTATATCTAAAATTATGGCCTGACCCTAACCTAGTACACATATTACATTCCGATGTCCGCCATCTTGGTTCGCATACTTCGGGAACCCCGTATATTGTCTACCTAATGGGATAAGGTTGCCTAATGCCTAATACATGGGCTTTCCAGATTCTTGAGGGGGGTAAAGTGTTTCCGAAAAATGCTTTTTTATACATATCAAAGGGGGGGGGGGGATTCAACCCTCAAAAACCTCTTGTGGTGGTGTCCTATACACCTACCCAAGTGCACGAATGAACATATATTTTTTGAGCAAGCAAAAGTGGTTAAAAAAATTTGTTTCAATTGTGACTTAATTTTGTTAATGTCGCAGAGTCAAGATATCAGGCACACCTGTATTATTGCTGTCTGAATCTTTTACATTTTAGCTATTACCGTACAATGAGCGGCATTCAGGACTTCACTCCAATCCCAGTCAAAGGAAGAGCAAAGGATCTTTCGAAGATGGTGAGATCAACTTATTCATAAAAATTTCAGATCTGCGTCTTAGAATGATTTATTGGCGCAAGTTTACTAAACGACGTTCCCTTTTAAAATAATATGACGAATCATAAATAATCCGAACGAAGCGTATGATTATGCGAAGGGCCAGTGCCACTCCCATTGTGTGTGTACCAGGTTGGGGCTAAGCCGATTTTCATTCCGATTTTTCCTATTTTACTTCTGTTTCGAGTTTGGGGACTGTCTGTGTTAGCCAAGTGAATATCCCCCTGCTCATAGGCTTCTATTCCTTTACACAACTTGATGTAAAGTAGGTGAACAAAATTAGTTACCTCTATATTGGTACACATACTTCTGGAGCGGCGCTCGAAAGAGTTGATTAAAATCGGGAAACACTAAAAAGACTAACACATCTTACCTGTGAATAATTAAAGAACTAACAATGATTGAGACGGAATTCGGTGACGGTTTGTGAACATGGCATAATTTGTGTCAACAAATTGATCTCTCTTATTTTTTGACAATGGGGAAACACTACAATTAGTCCTAATTTTTATTAATTAATGAACCAACAATAATTGACACACAGAATGCAGCGGCAGATTGTGAACATTGCCCATTTTATTTATGTCAACAACTCAATCTCTCGTTTTTTTTGGCAGGAACTTCCCCCGTACAATGGTTTCGGATCTTTGGAAGATTCCAAACAGAATTGTCTGAGTCTTGTCCCGCAACCTCCTAAGAAAGATTTCATCAAGATGTTGGAAAATGATCACAAGATTCTTAGATACGAAGCTAGATTGGTAGGATATGGATTTTTGTGTGGCGTTTTGCCACTCCTGAAGTATGTGCACCACAATGGTGCACAACCTGAACCCTAACCTGGTAAACATACTATGTTCAGGTTGTGCACCATCTTGGTTTACATACTTCTGGAGGTCCAGCGTTTTTACTCTAAATGAGGCTCTGTAGAAGTACCGGTAATTAGGTAAAACTGTATGTGAAACCCAGAGTTTGGGCCACAATCGAATTGTGCATATTTCGAATCCCATGCGGGGATGGTTATGTGCGAGAGGATTGCTGGACTCCTCGCCGCCGTAGGGTAGTTCAAGTAACCGCTGGTCGGTTACGGCTTCCTTCACCATTAAGGCCATGCTTCCGAAAACAAATAACTAATCCCATACCCGACATGGACTGGTAATCGGACGAAAAGCCGTGGTAAATATGTAAATCCTATCCTATATTTCCCAACTTCACGGCCCTTATTCAACAACCTTTCCTCTCTTTTACAAATCATTTTCACTTCGCAGAACGCCTGTGCAATAGTTTCATTGTCTTTTGTTGTTAAAATTGTATAAACTATGAAATTAAAGCGAACATGATACTTGCAAAATGAAATGATAATGGCAAACCTATTAGGTATTTGGTTATGTCTTTGAACAATATACACACAATGATGCAAACTCTCGGATTTGGAAAGAAATTTGCGGGGAGCGCCGGTACTGTACTGGCATAGCCATAAGGTGTCACGGGACCTTGAGTAAAAACCACTACTCTGAAGTCTAATTGATTTCGAGTCGATTCATTTTGTTTAAATAACCTGAGTCGCTTCTCAAGTTTCTCTGATTCAGCTATTTTATCATTCTTCTCCTGTTTTAAAACTATTTTAATTTCTTAGGATTCAGTCCGTCCAGATGACAAAGATCGTCGCTTCATTCTCTCCTATCGTCTCTCTGACGATATGATCAGTATTTTCGAACCCCCCCAACGAAACTCTGGAATCATCGGTGGAAAATTCCTTGAAGCGACTCGAATCTCAAAACCAGGATCTGACATTGAGAATCCTGAGTTCTATGGCCCAGGTGACTTCGCGATTGGAAGTGTTGTCCACAGTAAGTGTATTTTATATATATATCGGCTGTCTAAAATATTTTGCCCAATTATAAAGAAATAAGAATTAAAAATTTATTTGAGTTGGGTTGCGCGAGACTAACTTCCTATCTTTTCTCTATGCCTTTATGCTAGTGGATCCGTATGCGTATACTGCAAGGATGCTGTAGCTGGAATAAACATGACTATTCTATCCAATTAAAGAGTCCAGCTGCACACTAACACAAATGTATTTCTGTAACGTTTCATCTGACCAGAGTCAGACTTCCTCAGACAATCAGTTTACAACAATGGCCTTGTCTGAGGAAGTCTGACTCTGGTCAGATGAAACGTTACAGAAATACATTTGTGTTAGTGTGCAGCTGGACTCTTTAATTGGATAAAAATGTATTTATCTTTGTTTATTATTAGTTCTTATTGTACAATAAAATTTATTTAAACGTAGATATGCTAATATCTATAAATTACATTGTCGCAAGAAAACAGGTCAGAAAAAGGACAATTAGCTTTCTTATGTATTTCTAAAGCGCATTGCAAAACGATATGAAATTTTGAATAATCTTGTGATTATTGTGATAAAATAATCGTACATCGCAAAGTCACTAATTGCTCACTTCTAGACTATGTCTAGGCTGGTTACTACTTTTACATTTCTAGTTGAGGACTCGCAGCTTTGCTCAAAACTTGATTGTATCAATTTCACTAGCTTATCCTGGTCCACCACCTTCTTCTTTTGAAATAACATCAAAAACAGTTGAAAAATATCAAAAATCTTGCAAAAACAGTGATAATTCAACTCAAGAATTTTTATATTTTCAGTCTTCAAACATCGATTTCTAATCACAAATTGCGACGAATACGTGTTGAAAGTTTTAGAAGCAAACGCAGACCAGTACCCTGTCTCCACCATCGAAAGCATTCGACAAAAACATGGAAAATCCTCCCCATTAAAGCCAGCGACACAAGATGAACAGTAGAACATTTTCAAGAAATTTTATATGTTTGTTGTTTTTACTTAAGTTTCTGCTATATTCTACCATTTATGGTAAAATTCAATTAGATTTTGATTATTTTCATGAAACTCCTCCAGGATGATCAGTTTACTTTACGTTTCTGTTATATTCTACCATTTATGGTAAAATTGAATTAAATATTTTAATGAAATTTGATTATTTTAGAATATGTAACCGCTTGCAATGAAATCTTTTTCGAAATGAAATTTACTTTCAAGTACCATTTCTGCATTATATTTAAAAATACTTTATCAAGTTTTGCAGCTTCTTTCAGAAATCTAAATAAGTTTCAAATAAAATGCACGTCTTTCAAGCTATTCTCATATATTAATGAAAACCCTACATTTTCATGACCGCTTGTTTAGAGCCCATCGCACACAAGAGCTGTATCTATTAGTTGTTCACTGTAATTCAGTAATTGTCACTGTAAAAGTATTTTTATTGTTTATCTAATGTTTGAAAATTATGGAAAGGACCGGCATGGCCCAGGATAATTGCCTGTGGTTCTTCTTTTGGCCGAACATATTCCTGACCTGATCTATGTTTTTGCACGATTTGTAAATATGGAAATTGAAATAAATATATTTGTATTTAGAGCGTTTTATTTATGGCCAGGGTTGAGGGGCATCAGTTGCAATTTTCTTGTGCTTCGAAGACCTTTCTGATGCTTACCAGGGTAGGATTGGCTAAAATCAAGTAGAATTTACATATTTATCCCGGGGGAGAGGAAAGCCGATAAGACGGCTTATCCATATGGCGAACCACGGCCTCTCGTCCGGTTACCATTCCAAGTCGGGTATGGGATTAGTTTTTACTGTATTGTTTGTTTTTCGGAAGCATGGACTTGGTGGTGGAGGAAGCCGTAACCGACCAGCGGTTACGTGAACCACCCAACGACGGCGAGGAGTCCAGCAATCCTCTCGCACATAACCATCCCTGCATGGGATTCGAACCTGCAAACCCACGCAGAGTAATTAGAGGTGCGGTGGCGAGCGTATTCCTAACGCTTAGCCCGTTGAGCCACACCGCCGCGCTAAATTTCATTTACTCTCTAAATTTCATTTCTGAAAATGTATTTTAAATTGGGTCGCGTCTGGTGAAGAACGTAGGAGTCAAATATTTTGACTTTAAAAATGTCGACGCTTTATACAGTTCTCAAAGTTAATGAACACCTATGTGTCATACCAAGATTTAAATCATAGGTGTCCAACAGGTGGCCGTATCAAAATACATATTTTTCGCTCTTGTCGCTGTGTTGAATCTTTTGTCGTTCTGCAATATAAGCAAAAAAAAGGGTATAACAATAAATCGTGTTTCAGGCAAGTGTGGTGTTGTGCATACATCCCGTCCTCAGTAATGATAATTTATCTACGCTTTTGTTGCTTTTACGACACGAATAAACATACATACATACAAGGTCAAAGCAGAGAGCGTTGTAAACATTAATGTAATAATCCGGCCCACCGAGGACTTCATTTTCCCACATCCGGCCAGCCGACTAGAGAAGTTGCCCACCCCTGCTGTAAAGCTATTTCATAGGCTCATTCTCTTGTCTTGCCTTTTCCGCGACACTCTGGTTGTCACTACTGCATTTTGTATTTTTTTGCGTGGCTCAGCAAGATGTCTGGAGTTGGTTATATGGCCCACCAACAAAAAATGTTGCTCACCCCTGCTCTAAATCAGAGGTCGGTAGGTAACCTTTTGTCGCTCGCGGGCCAAAATTAATGGTTGCAAGTCATTGGCGGGCGCACATATTCCTAGAAAGTTGAAAACCGGACGGATGATAATTTTTATAATACAAATCAAGCAGTGATACATCTTTCGAATAGACTATAGATTTTATTTCCTCATTGCATTGCATCTCGAAGAGTTCCATTCGAATATTTTCAGCGCTATTGAACCGTTTGCACTTAGCATCGACATTTCTGCGTTTTGTTGCCATTTGTCTAATTATAATTAAATTATAGGCTCATTAAACGAGTAATTGTGAATTTCATACCTGTTAGACTTTAATATAATTTATTCTACACGTGTCTCCCAATAAATTCTGTTACTCAAAGAATATAATCGTCAAAACAGCTGTTTTGTTACTATAATTCAGTGAAGCGTCGCGGGCCGGATTATAGTACTCCGCGGGCCGTAGGTTGCCGACCCCTGCTCTAAATGATGATAATTTGTCAAATGAGACTTTTGTGAATTATATCCAAAACTAATAATTTAATTTCGCGCATAGTCCAAAAAAATAAACAAGCTGAAATAACATGCGAAGGCAATTCAAGGAACCTAAGAAGTTGAAAATTGAAAAACTTATTTTGATAAAAACGAGTAAAACGTCTATTTTGACTTTTTACTTATCGATTTTAATCGGTAAGTATATTGATAGGTATTTGTCTGTTAGATGCGCGCGATATCTCACGAAAACGAGATTAAATCTGCTCCAGATTTTGCATGTGCATTCATCATATGTCGGACCAAAAGCTTATTGATTTTGGATGAATTATGTCGAAAATTAGCGAGTTAATAATCAATTAGTGATGGGACACAAGGTGTCACTATGGAGTAAGAGCGGTTTTGGGGATCCCTAACTTTCGATCGATAAGTCTTCGGTCTCTGACCGATATTCTCGTTTTACTGTTGTTACATTTTGTGATAAATTCGAATAATAATCTTTCGAAAGCTTGATATCCACCATATTGTCTTGAAACCCAGAAATACTCTTTAAACTGAGATAACTAGAGCTATTAGAGGGCTTACACCTCAAACAAAGGCGAAACCACAAAAGAATATTTTAATAAAACATATAATTCGAATTTTTAAACTTCTATAACTTTTTATTGAAATAGTCAGTGAATATTGCTTTAAACTATGATCAGATACAAGCTTAAAAAGCATCTTTTTTTGTGAGGACTTCGAATGATAACTTCAAACTTTACATTCATCATATCGTCTCGAAACCCTCAAATTCAGAGTCCCACCTGAAAAAGGTATTTTCCTCTACCAAAAGTTAGGTACTCTTGTAGTATGTGTACCAGGTTAAGGTATAATTTTATTCCGATTTTACTTATTTTAGTTCTATTACGAGTTCGGGGACTGTTTGTGTTAGCCAAGTGAATGAAAGTTGACACATTTCTGAAGTCACAAACGGCAATCACCATGTGCAAAGCTGCACTAAATTTTGTGTGTAGTGGTGGACTTGTGAGTTGCAGGTTTCAGTAAGAATTTTAATTACTAGAATATGATTTTAATAGCGTATTGTTGAATGACAAGGAAGTGACACGACACGAGCATGCTGTGTTCTCTCATCTGGATACCATATATAGTGTCAAGGCTAAAATTAAATAGTTAATCGCCCCAAAAGCACAGAATTGGTCGTGTCACTACACTGACATCTGATCCAATGACCTGAACAGTTTCATCCCAACATAAATCACCAAACACAGATCAATTTGAATATTTTTATTCATGATTTTTACAATCTGAAATAAATATAATACAGAGAGAAAAAAACTAAGGCACATCAAAATATACACAGCAGTATAGCTATTCTTCATATTAAGATCTCAAAGTTGCGGGAGAAGAGTTAAAAATTTCGATCTCTGATTATTACGAGACACAAAATTTGAAAAATATGAATTGAGACTCAAAAATTGACAAAATTATTATTTGACAGTCAAAGACTCAGGACTTCAACATTTCAAAGATTTTTTTAGTCAATAATAAAATTTCGATCATCAGCTTTTGCAAATCTTGACATAATGTCAGGCAAATCTATTTTCTTTATAATAAATCTGATAATAAGTGCAAAAATATTCATGAGAATTGCACAATGAATGCATCTGTATTCAAAATAGTTAACAATACAATGTGATATGACTTTCTATAAGAGGATGAAAGCAAAATATGGACAAGTACTTGAAAATGGTGAAACAATACACAATCCCTGTGAAAGGGGTACCTTCAAGAAGTGGCTTGATAGTAAATAGGACAAGTCTTCCATTCTCAACATACTCTAGGGAAGCTAAAACAATTTAGCACACTTTTCCATCAAAAATATCATGAACGCAAGCAAGCTCTGCTTTTTCAGTCAGACTTTACCCGCTTTCAGTATTCAACAAGATCTATGAATCAGTTTTGAGACGGAGTTGTATTTTCTAAGGGTACTAAGTTTCCAATAGAAACTCAAAAAAGCATTAAGTCGCCTAAGCATTCATAACTGACAGGTATAGAAGGGTTATATTCGCTAAAGTTATTTCTATCAAAATTTAATTTCCCCACAGTTTGGAGCTAAAGTCCTTTCCAAATGGCTCAAAGTTAGCATATTTCTATACGCGCTTACAGATCTAATTTTATCTTCAGAATGAGTGGCTCATATTATGCATTGACATAGAAAATATCGGAAAAATTTAGCCTCAATGCAAAAAGACATCCGGCAACGCAAGAGAAAAATGGGGAAATCGATACGCATTGAGATCGAAAATTTCTGGAGATCTGTGTGGTAAAATAGACCTTCGTCTTATCTATTGTGCGTATTATGCTTGGAAAAACATGATATTTTTCCCCAAGTGTGGTCTTTTTACAGTTATAGGATAAATGCAACAAAATAAATTTAAATTCTAAGAACTTTAAAAATCCAGATAGATTGTTTTTTTGATTTATCGAACAAGGTGATGTGGCAAGGTCAAAGTACATAGTCTCAAACCAGCCAGTCCACGAGGAAGATTTCCGACACGTTCCCATTCTTCCTTGTCAGGGTCGTAAGTCTGAATGACCTTTATGCATCGTCGAGCAGCCCAACAATATCCGCCCACAACATATATCTTGCTGTCAAGCTGTAGATGGAATAAATAGTTTGAGAATGAAGATCTGAATACTCCCGTAGTATGTGTACCAGGTTAGGGTATAATTTTATTCTGATTTTGCTTATTTTAGTTCTATTACGAGTTTGGGGACTGTCTGTGTTAGCCAAGTAAATATACCCCCTGTCCATAGGTTTCAGTCCCTTTACACAACTTGATGTAAAGTAGGTGAACAAATTTAATTCCCTCCATATTGGTACACATACTTCTGGTGCGTCCTGTATTGTGTATTTCTTTTCTGTGTTGCCATTTTTTCTACCACGGCAAAGATCAAAACGAATTATTGGACACAAAGTGGTCCTACCTATGAATCGTTCTGTTCTTACTTATCGATCTTAAGATCAGTAAGTATATTGATAGGTATTTGTCTGTATGTATGTATGTCTGTTTGTCTGTTAGATGCACGCGATATCTCACGAAAGCGAGATTGAATCTGCTCCAGATTTCGCATGTGCATTCATCTTATCTTGAACCAGAAGCCTATTGATTTTGGGCGAATTATGTCGTATAATTAGCGAGTTATCAATCAATTATTGATATAGTGATCTAGATTTTTGTAAAGCGAGAGAATTTTGAAATCCGCCGAGTGTGTGTGTGCGATGCGCAGTGCGCAAGTTACAAGAGCGGATGAATCGAAACTGCAGTTTCTGTTTTGGGGGATCCCCTAACTATCGATCGATAAGTCTTCGGTTTCCAACCGATATTCTCGTTTTGTTGTTGTTGACTTTGTTGGTATTTTTCTTTATGAAAAAATCGGTTTTCTAATGGACCAATTTCTTTTAAATTTCCAGTGGTTAAAAGTTTTATTTTTCGTTCGAAGTCTCTTGTTTTTATTTATTCCTAAAATTTCGTGAACACACTAAACAATAATTTTTCACATACCACAGTAGCTCCAGCTTCACTCTGTCCCATAGAAATAGGTGTTACAGTCGTCCACTGATCAAAATCTGGGCTGTAGACTTCAGTGTCCAGAACATCCACTCGTTTGTTAATTCCTGTGTTCCCACCAATCACATAAATCCTGTGAAAAAGAAAATACATTTTTGAGAATATTAAGTGTAAAAATATAGAAGAAACATACTCTATTCAGGAAAAAGCAAGTATATTTTTAAGGTTCGATCGTATATGAATTTCATATTTTTCCTGGGGAAAGAGGATTCACATGGCGAACCACGGCCTCTCATCCGGTTACCATGTCAGAATTAGTTAAACCAGGTAATTGTATCAGGTGCATGGACTTGATGGTGGAGGAAACCGTAAACAACAAGCGGCCATTTGAATGTAAACGAACATTGATGAAAATAGTTGAGTAGCCCTGAGCTAGACAAGCAGTTCCCAAACTTTTTGTCTGTGCGGCACTAAATTATCAGGGAAAAAAATACACAGCATTTTAAATAACAATAAAACATTTATAATAAATACAATATGTGGAATATTCAATTATCTGAAAAAAAAAATGATTTTTTCATGAAATATTTCCACACCTTGGGCTCTGAACAATCAGCCAGTTTTACACAAGCAGCTACTTATTTTTAAGATTTTCTCAGTTCTCTCGGATTGGCCGAGACCTTTCACGCATAATTAACCCTGCATGGGAACCTACTCAGGGTAATCAGGGTAGCAGTGACGAAAGTATTCCTAACGGTGCGCCACACCGTGGCCAGGTGCATGGACTTGATGTCGGAGGAAGCCCTATATCAGGTGCGGGCAACCTTTTCCGACTCGCGTGCCAAAATTGACTAAATTTAATGACAAAATTCTTCCGCGTGCCGACCAAAATTGTTGAGAGCTCACTCCGTTGTGACATCATAAAATATTTCTTTGAAGCCCTATGTCATGAATGGACAAAAAGAATTCAAATAAATAACGGATTGTTAACAAACAATTTTGATTAAACGGACGCAGAGTTTCAACAGCTAATTCCGAGCATTGAAACTTTTTATCTGAAGAAAAATGATTTCGTTTCTGAAGCCTTGCTCGCGTACCGAGTAAATGGGCTCGCGTGCCAAGTTCGGCACGCGTGTCAGGGGTTGCCCACCCCTGCCCTAGATAATCAATGCTAACCCCTCTACGAGTCCAGCAAACCTCTTGGACATAATAAAATTGGGATTCTTACCACTTTATTCAGACTATGATCAAAGCTTACAGTTACTCCTACTATTTCTTGAAAGAGATTCAATTTACTATTATTACAAAACACCCCAAAAAAAAAACGAGAATATCGGTCAGAGACCGAAGACCTTTCGATCGAAAGTTAGGGGATCCCCCAAAACAGCGCTTTTACTCCATAGTGACACCTTGTGTCCAATCACTAATTAAATAATAACTCGCTAATTATACGACATAAATCATCCAAAATCAATAGGCTTCTGGTACGACATATGATGAATGCACATGCAAAATCTGGAGCAGAATCAATCTAGCTTTCGTGAGATATCGCGTGCATCTAACAGACAGACAGACAGACAAATCAACATACTTACCGATTAAAATCAATAGGTAATAATCCTTAAACACGCAAAAAAATATCATAAAAAAATACATACTTATCCTTCAGAGTAACTTGGCTATGCCATCCTCTTGCATACTGCATTGGTGATCGACGCTCCCAGATATCATGCTTGGGATTATAACACAACATAGCGTCACTGAAATGTCCGTCACTGAATCCGCCGCTCACGTAGAGTTTGTCACGGTGAACAGAGCCATTATGATCACATAATGCATTCTGAAATAATAAAGCAACATTTTAACTTTTGGGCTGGATACTTTTTTAGGTCAATATCTATGTTTTTTTAACCTATAGTGAAAATAAGAAAAAGTTTTTGTGAATCAAGAGAATTTTTGTCACGGTGAACAGAGCCATTATGATCACAAAATGCAATGTGAAATTAAAAAAATATCGTTTTTGAAAATGAAATCCTGGCAAGCTAAAAATTTTCTATTTTATTTGGATTTATGGGAACAATACTTTCCATCTTTTCAGCAAATTCAATGCTCATATGAGAAGCCTCACCAGTAACTTGGCCTTCATGTAACCGAACGAGATGCCTTGGTTCACCATATGATGCATTATCGTTTTTTCCCCTCTCCTGGGATAAATATAGGTTGGGAAACTTACCTGGGTAGAAGCAACATATTTCCATCTGTCCTCTTCCACACAGTAGCACTCAACGGAAGACATTCGGCCAACGGAATTCACTCCTCCTACAGCATAGAGACGATTGTAATGCTGGAATAGCACTGACGTGAAATCCTGCACGACGTTCGTTCATACTTGCAATCTTCATCCAAGTGTTGAAACGAGGATCATATCTGAAAAACAAGAGCAAAGCTCAATATATTATAGTCCTTGAACCACTGAAGCTAAAACAAAAAAGTACGGGTATCCAATATTTTACAGTGGACACCGGTACCCACAGCATTCGCATTCACAATGAGGATCATATCTGAAAAATAGGGCTGTTTTGCTATATTTGAGACATTTTACCCTCAATTTTTTTTTCAGTTTGTTCAAAGCAAGTTTAAAGCCTTTGACTTACTAGTTTTGGCAGGATTCGACTGCATTGTGATTATTCCCATTGCTGATAAAAATAATAAATGAAGTCCCATCTTATCCATAAAGGAATAGGTTATACTTGGTACACAGATACCCGGACGAAGTAATAACACTCGATCAACCATGAGATTATGATGATCATACTGGCCACACCAGACTAGAGGTATTATTTTATGTCGAGGTAAAAATACAGGGTGTCCATAAAGTCCCTTCACAATTTCAATTTTGTTATGAAGCCAGTTCTCAATATATCTTAACCAGGTTTGTTGTTTTTTTAATCAGTAATTGTTCAAGTATTTTTACTTCATTTAATACATCCATTGCTGCTTATACAATATTTAACTCAAAATAAAGTCAGAAAACTCTTCAACTGGAAAACATATTGATGAAAGCCTTATTGTCATTTGGTTGGTTTCTTAATTGCTTTTTAGGTGTTATTGAAAGACTTCAATGACTTTTGACTCCTTATACATTGCCTTGTTAAAAGTGATGTGCACGAATTAATGGTGAATAGAATAAAATGAGGCTTTCACTAAATACACACCTGGTAACCGTAGTAACAGCAGTTTTTCCTCTCTCTTCAAAATGGTTTTGACCTCCGAGAATGTAAAGGAAATTGTTCAGCACAGCGACACAATGGGAGTGAACTCCTGTATCCATACTCGGAAGAAGTGTGTATGCAGTCAGCTCACGATTGAATACTGGAATAAATAAAAGTCATTGTTGAGTATTTTTACTTTATTTAATACATCTGTGAGGGCCAAAACAATATATGGTATCGATAAATTCTGTTTGTAATTTTTAAAAATTAGGACTGATATATCAATTGATTCAAAATTCTTTGTTTGATAATTTTAATGATAATCTTGATAAATTTGTCTCGATTTTAAAAAAATATACACCAGTCAAAGAACTGGGAATTAATTAATAATAATAAGCCTCATATCTCAGTGGCCGCATAAACAGTGCATCTGTTTTTTTAGTTTTCTTGTTCAATTAGGGGCAACTCAACAGACTGAAGAAAGTCCGAGGAAGAAAATGAAAAAACGAATATTAACAACTTCTAGGATACTTTGTTTTTTTCCATACAGGTGCGGTGGAAAACAATTTTATGCACCATATTTTACGGACCATAAGGCACACTTTAAATGCCTCTTTTCCCAAAATTCAACTGTGCGCTTAATGTATGGAGATCAGGTAGTGCTTTATGCTTCATCGCCCCCACTAAAAACCATTACTATATTGCCTTAGGAACCATTCTTACAGCCCGATGCACCTTATGTCCGAATAAAAACTGTGCAATTTACTGATAGTGTGCTTTATAATATGGTACGCCATATGGTTTGTTGAATACACTAAAAGTCCAATTTTGCTTTGAAAACTGCTGCGTCTTGTATCACGATGAGCCTTATGTATAAATGAAAATCCAATTTATCAAGTTATTGATAGTGCGCCTCATGTTTTGTGAAATACAGTAACAAAAACACATAACACAAATTTGTATAATATTAACAAGTAAAATGTCTGATTCCTGCCTAAAGCAAATAATTTACGTCTACGTATACACTCTAAAAATATTTTTGAATCTAGAATATATTCCATATTGGGCCATGAGATACCCTAATATTACCCTAATATTACACAAAACATAACACATCTCTAGGAACTCAATGAATCAAACGCTGTCAATATGTGCCCAGAGGAGCGTAAGAACAGATCGATTCAGATTTCTGACTCACCTTTCAATTGGTTTGATACTTCATCCGTGTTGTCAGCTCCTCCCAGTACAACCAGTCTTGTATCATTGGATCGGACTCTGGTACGAGAAGAAGGCACGATTGGTTGAGAATGAGGAAGCATATGGTAACTGCTTGCCTGTTATACAATGGGATATTGAACATTATTTTTACCAGAGGGGGGAAGAGAGGTACATTGAAAAGACGTCTTAACTACATAAGGTGAACCATGGCCTCCCCCCCCCCCCCCCCCCCAGTTACCAATTTACGATAGATCAGTGGTTTCCAATTTTTTATGGCTTGTGGCCTCCTTCCGGAGGCTTATAGCACTCATGGCCCCCGTTAAGCATTCCATTAAATGTTTACTGTGTTATTTTTATTGGTAAATTATATTACCGTATGTTCCAACAATTCATGCTAAACAAAGTGAAAACACCCTGTGAAATAACCTTATCAACCAATGAAACCAGGAAGAATGGGTAGTTTTCCCATAAAATGAAAAATAGAATCAGTTTTGCGCCTGGCATTGTGGCACCACTTCAACTGATCTGTGGATCCTGAATGGGGCCTTTGGAGCCTTTTTGTGAGTAAAACTCATCAAAACTGCCTCTATAAAGCTATTATCACAAGTAATAGATCGTTATTTTAAGCATTGATCGAAGGAAAAATAACACATAAAATCGTAGAGATGTATGTAGAGATGGCATTCCGAAATGCCAAAAACACACGTTGCAGTAGTGAACAATTACAGTGAACAATTATTTAAATTACCTCAAGTAACAGATCGTTGCATTTAGTCCTCATAAAGTCAACAACATTCACATGAACCATCAAGTCCCTAGGTGGCATCAGAGGGAAGCGAATCTTCTCCATCAGTTTACGAATGAAAGCTTGTCTGAAAGATAGAGTTTCAAAGGTTACCTTACGTAGCTGATATAGCTATACTGGTAGATTGTCTTGGTTTAAAATCCCATGTCCGCCACCTCATCTAGGGTTTGATAAATTGGGTACTCAATGCCAACCCATAGCCCACCCACTAATAGGTACTTGGAGCTCTGTTAGAATTGAAACAACTTTTTCGCATTTTAAAATCAGTTTCATTTCAAACATCCCAGGTATAGGTTACGTTATTACACACACCTATGCATTATCTCCTGATATAAATTATTCTTAAAAGCAATCATGTTCAAAAGAGTTCATCAGTCATTACCGGTAAGCCAAAAACAAAAAATATTCTCTATTTTACATGACAGATTTCCAAAAATACTCAAAACTTCAGTGATGATAACTTTATTTTGTGCAGCCCTAAGATAGAGTAAAGAGTCCAGCAATCTTTCTATACATAATTATCCTTCACAAAATTTAAACCTGCGACAGTCGTCAAACCAAAAATGAAAAAAATCCTATCCTACCTGGATGGGTCATACATGATCCATTTCAATGTGGCAGCAAAGACATCAAGTTCAGACATGACTTTCAAATCATTGTTTTCAAGAAGAAAATTCATGTTTTCGAAAGTCAATTTCTGTAGTTGATTCGATTTGATGAAATCTGGGAATCTGAAAAGTGAATAAAACGGTTAAAACAAATCAAAATCTGACTTTGACCAAATCCCATGCCCACCACCTCACTATAAATTACGGTCTATCCAAAATAGTAGTTTTAATCACATCAGCGGTTGCTTGTAAATAACAAAAATACCCCCTAAAAATACTTATATAGAATGTCCTTAAAGTCCCTTCACAATTTTAATTTTGTTATGAAGTTAGTTCTCAATATATCTTAACCAGGTTTGTTCTTTTTTATTCAGTAATTTTTAACTATTTTTACTTCATTTAATACATCTGTGAGGGCCAAAACAATATATGGTATCGATAAATTTCCTTTGCAATTTAAAAAAATTTATGGACATCCTATTTATCAATTTACCCTACTTATTTGAGACTTATTATAAGAAGGCCAGGAGCCGAAGTCCCAATGATGATTACACTGCTAAATAGATCAACTTAAAATTCTCAAAATATAAGATTCTAAATGTCCCCTTAATTGCAAGTAAAGCCAATACAAACCTTTCCAGCATGAACTTGTAAGCCTTCTCTTCGAGCAAACCCATTGTAAAGACTTCAGCAATATGGATGATATCAACACAGGTGTTCACATCTATGGCTGAGATCAGAAACTCCATGCAGAAGTCGAGAACAACCTGGATCTGTTAGTTGAAATAAGGATCCATCAAAAAAGTTTTCATTTGATCTATTAGCAAGGCCCGTGACACGCATCTATCTATTTGTGGGGGTGGCTTTTCCCTTTTTTGAACTTTTTTTCAAGTTACTTTCAATAATATTAGCATAATCTCTTTCACGAACTTGCTTGCTATTAGTGGGTATAGTTGCTTGACAAATATTCTTGTTAATTTTTCAATACTATATCGTTCAAGCATCATTGTGGCAAGCTGTCAACTGACACCTACGAATCCGAAGTAGGAAGGACCGTGGCAAGCTGGCAACTGACACCTACGAATCCGAAGTAGGAAGGACCAGGAGAAAGGACTAGAGGTTCAATAGACATTATGTAACTACCCCCTATTTTACAAGTTTATTCAGTCTATTTTGCCCAAAAACTTGAGGCTCCTATTTGAGCTCTGAACAAAACTGTGAAAAACCAGTCACTGGGAGCAAAGTCAAACTTAAATAATTTGACTCAGACACCAACTCACAACCAAATTCTCAGTTAAAAAGTTCTTCGTGGATTATACATACCTGCATATGTCTTCCTACAGCCAGGATGTTCTGCACTGTCTGCATTGTTATTGGAAGACGACCAGTGTACATGAATTCAACAATATGCTTCAGTCCATCACTGCTGATGCCTCTGAGTTCAATCGACTCAGAAAACCAAGTATACTTTGCCCCGTCGTTGCGACAAATTTCAGCTAAAAATAAAATTGATTACAATTTAAAGTTCCTCAGTTTGAAAAGGAATTTGACTGACTATGAAATCTGAAGAGAAAACAAAACCTCAAGTAAGATTTATTAAAATGTACAGGAATGTGACGTCACTCACTCAACTTAAACCTAAAAAAACTTCTATTAAAAAGCCGAGAAATTTAAGTTTTACCATTCTGAGTGTCTTTTGTGAACATTTCCTTGAAGTACGGACTGCATGATGCGAGAAGAGCACGATGGACAGGGAAGCGGTTGCTACCAGCAATAAGTGTGACATCACAAAGCAAATTGTTTGATCGGAGGTCATTGAACCCTAGTAAAAGGGTGTTGTTGTAAGTGTTTGATGAAAACACTGTCTCAGGGTAGCCATTCTTGATGGTAGACTGACAGAAACTGTAAAACGAATATTATTAAAATTAGATTGTGTGTATATTTCTCATGGAAAGAAAAGAATATATAAGGACAATAGGGTGGTCACTAGAAAAGCAGAAAATTTGAAGGTCGGATGAGATCACGAATAAATTACGTGCTCACTCATGCATGCTTTTCCAATACTTTTTTTTTAGATTTCAGGTTGTAATTAGGTTCTATTTGGTTTCTATATACCGTATTTGCTCGTTTTGTAGCCCGGGCCCATATTTTTTTCAACCAACTCACTAACCGGGCCCTTATTCAAACCGCACGATCTATTTAGCAGTCAAGCACGGGCGCTTGTTATTTTCGATCGTTACAATATTTAATATATTGTTATTTGCAGTTCTCAAAGTATGATTTAAAGGAGAATAACGAAAATTTTGACTTTTTCTACGCACCGCAGGTACAAATCCGCAAAAGAAGAAAAGTTTTGCAAAGCCCTATCAATATTGAAACGCCGCACTTGGGAGTCGCGATGCCCAGTTTGAGAACCATGGTGTTACGTAATCAATCCTATCTGTTACGTACTTGGACGACTAAGGCGTGAGTGTTATCTATACCGGTGCTTAAAATTCAACAGCGTTGTGACAAAAGCGCTTCTTATTTTCTATTGTTCTCTACCACTGAAAAATCAGCTTTTACATCGGGCGGGTATTCAAGCACCGGCCCTTATTTTTATGTTCTGTTCACACGGGCGGCTATTCAAACGGGCCTTTAATCAAGATCGGGCGGTGAAACGGAGTGGGAGTGGTGACTCCTCTGCGGCCCATGGGCCGGGGCCACGGCCCATCGAATTGGGCCTCGGCCCATCAGGCTATGGGCCGCGGCCCATCAAGTTGTGTAAAGAAACTATTCACTTGGCTAACACAGACAGTCCCCGAACTCATAATAGAACTATAATGTAAAAAATCTGAATTTTTTTTGTCCTAACCTGGTACACATACTACAGGAGTATATTTTTTTAGTTTGAATATTGACAATTTGGTAAAAATTGAAAATTTTGTTAAGATAATTGAATTTTTTCTGATGGGGCCGCGGCCCATCAAGCTATGGGCCACGGCCCATGTGGCCCAATTAGATGGGCCGTGGCCCCGGCCCATGGGCCGTAGAGGAGTGACCACTCCTGTAGGTAAAACGAGCATATACAGTATTTTAAGTTATTTCTATAAATGTTATATTTCTATAACATACGCCTTTAAATAACTTTGTAAAAACGTTGTGTAAAAGTTATTATTTGTAAAAATATATAGCTGTTTGACAAATTTTCCCTTTTCTAGCGAGTATTATGCTCAATTTTTGTATTTGTATATATTTGTATTTGTGAATTATTGCTATGGTTTACAGCCTGAAGGTGCAAAATAACATTTCAATTAGAGTAGGGTTACGAGTACCGTACCGGTATATCTGTATCCCAGGGAAAATAAAGTCAATATTATGGGTTAATTTTGTGGGGTCATCTTGATTAGTATCCTGCTCAGGTTGGGTATGAATGTGACAAGCTAATTTGTGTATATATGCCCCAAATAGAGGAAAGTAAATATGGCTTAATTTTGTGGGAGCCTATGTCCTCGCAATCAGAAACCTGTCTCGGTCGGGTGTGGATGTATCAATAAGCAACCAATTTATCATTCTAAAAGCCTTGTCAGATTGTTGGCAGGCATCTCAAATCAGACCACGAACGCTTGTTGAATTACCAGAGAAGCTCAATTATCAGACTATAGTGAGTTGGGTTCTATGAGTTCCAATTTGTGGACATAGAGAGTGGAGTCGTACATCGCTAAATAATTTAGGATATTGCCACACACTTTCCAACTTATCTCACTGTCTTAACCATATTCAGATATTCAAGCCAAGCCCAACTGCTGAACTGAAAGAAAACCTACCGGAATGACTGTATGACAGCAAAGCAATAACAAGATATAGAGGCCAATATCCTTAAAAAGGTCTGTGTTGTGACGGCCCCAGTTCATTCCGGCCATCGCCAAACACAGAAATACAGGATGGAACATGGAAACCCTACCGTACCAAATCTACCCTCCAACTCTTCAAGATTTGTAAAAACCGGTGTTTTCAGTATCTGAGTATACCTCGGTGATTAAAGAAATTTTTCTATTTACCCCTACGGGGTCCACCGTGCCGCGCGGGTACACCGTACCGTACTCGGAGATGATAAAGATCAATTCAAATATTCATAAAATAATTAGACAGCAGTTACTACAGTACCGTACGGTACTAAGTTACCTACCGATACCGTAGTGTTTAAGAAGGCTTTGATAGCATCCCTGAACTCCCTGCGCTCAAATTATTTTTATCTATGTTTATATTGACTTACATAACGACAGATAGGCCAGAACAAACTCGGTTTATGCTTAGCAGCACTGTGCACTTGTTCAGAAAAGAGCGCTGCCGCACGCAGGCGTTTGCAAAAGCAGCAGACCCCTCTCTCTATTCTATGACGTCATAGGTAATGCTTGTAGCGCGGAAAATACTCCAGGCACTCCACGTGCTTTTAGGATGTTGGAATTCGGAAGAATGGTTTTGCGAATTTCAGAGGATAGTTAGAGTGTCCCGAAGCTATTTAGAACAGATAAATTTATGTATTATAGTATCATATGCAAAGATGTGACATGTGTATCAACCGTAAATAAAATCTGGGCGCAATTCAACAACTCCCATTTTGAAAACAACTCGATTCCGATTGGCGACTATGCCGGTAAGTTATGTTTTAGTTTACATTATATTTTTAGTATTTATAATTGCTTTTGAAGCGCCAGGATTTTGTCATCGGCGAGTGGAAAGCATACAAGACTAAATACAAGGGTTATCGTCCAATTCGGGTATGGGAATCAATACCGAAGATATTCGCTGGAGATGTGTATACTTCTGTTTTTGGAGACTGAATTTGTCAACTTGCTATAGAGCGCTTCCAGTGGTATTATTTGGTTAGATAAGCCCGGTGGAACACAATTGTAGTTGATATTAATTGACTGTTCCAGCCATGGCTTATGTATTTGTTATTGAAGCGAGCGAAAAGCCGAAATGAAATGTGAATCCACGAGTTATTCCAAATGACTTCTGTGGTTACTAAGTTCAATTTAAAACGGTGTTAAAATATAATGACGATTTTCGCGATGTAATAATTGCAGTGTACGCAGAAGGTAATTTCGGATCGCTTGTGGCACTTAATACAATGATTGGTTAACAGGGACGGCCGCACGACTACGCCACTACTACTTTAATTACGTAACTGGCTACTTTGTTAGTTTAGCCCGTGTAATTTAGTTCTAACGGACTTCGAAGTTGACATTAGTAACCGGGCGAAGGGCCATGGTTTTTCTTGCAAATAATAATTTTATTTATTAACCGGTATATAAAGATTTTCTTACCTGTCAGACGAAGTCCTGAAACTTGAGACTGACGCCGAGTCAGTTGACGACTTCAACATTAGTTTATCGGACATTTCTAACATTAGATTTGGCTAACGAGTGACAATCTGGTAGAATAAAGAATGAATAAGTTGTAACTGCATAATTTAACTAATAGTAGTTTGGTGTGGGAATGCATATATAGTCTCAATTCCCATTGAGATCGCCCCATTCCCATTGAGATCGCCCCATTCCCAGAGGGCTATTTGCCTACCATATAGACAGCAGGTAAAGGATAGGTGTAAAACGTAGGTTGTAGAGTAGATACGTGGTCCCAGTCGCAATTTGAATGTAGAGAAAGCTACTGATCTGCCAAATTGACAGTGGGTATAATTTTAGGATAGTTACACTATAGGTATATATTTCAAAAAATTGTAGTCTTCGACAGGATAATATATACGTATGAGCAAAAACTCCTTTTAAAAACAAGATATCTGCGAATTACAAGAAACAGACGATAAATTTATTTGAAAAAATATTTTAATTTTTTTTATCCGCATTTAGTTTCAATATTCCACGGTTAACGGTATAAAGGCGATACGTGAATGAAAAAACTTTTCTTTATTAGAACCAAGTCCAAACCCGCTACCTATAAGAGTTTTGTTTGCACATAGCACATAGAAATAACGTAAATACATACCCGAAAGAAATCTCTGCTGTATTTCCGGATTTACAACCTAAACGCCTATATTCGCTGCACGTAATCTACAATGAATCTCGTATTTTCAAAGCTTACGTCGATAGTGACTAACAAAGATCAAATTAAGTTGCCCGAGGGCATAAGAATATTCCGCGAATGTCATTTGATCATAATTGCTAGGAACATCGCCCGACTATTAAACACTTTAAAATAAGTTTATTACGCCGTTTCCGAGATGGATTACCTTTTTTATAACGCCGTTTTATGGGGTGTTTTATACCTTCGATGCAAAACAATTTATATGACAACAACCACCTTTGTTTTGGAATGCCAAGTATCTTTACGAGCAAATGTTCCCATGTCATCTTACTCGGCATTTCGCCACATTAAAACGGACATTAGGTTAATACCTTGAAAATTATAAGGACCAGAACATGTACAGATTTAAAACCCCGACCATAAGATGACCCCTGGTCCATAATAACGAAAGATAAAAAATTAATTCCATTTATGAAAAATGTAAATAGGCTACTTTGGGCGGAAAGGTAGTCTGCGTATGTGCGAGTATATCGCCGCAGTAATCATAGTCAAGCTTATTTTTTCCATCCAGTGAAAATAACATACGAAATTGACAAAAAATAAATCTAAACACCCGCTTACCGTATCCTAAGGTTTTAAAAAAATTGTATTTTTGTAATAGTATGGTTCTAACGACCATACCTAAAAATGGACATAATGTGCTACTTAAAACTAAAACAGGTACATCTTTTAAACCCGAAGCAAAATATGACCCCTGGTCCATAATTACAGAAAATAAAAATAAATATATTTATAAAAATGTGACATTAGCTACTTTGGTCTTACTGTGGCAATATGGTTTTCTTTATCATGAACCCTGAATTTAATAGAATTGCTATGAATCGCTCTTCATACTCCTGCTCTGGCCTAACGTCTGTCTGGAGGGATTCCGCGAAACCCAGTCAGTTTAGTTGCGCAAGTTTACATTCAAATCCGAGAGTCTAAATATTGATATATGCATATATTGAATAAATATACTCAAGTACTCGGTGATATAATTCTATAATTAGTTTGTTTCACAAGTGTTTCGTGACATATTTTATGAAAACATATATAACCATATATACGTATAATCAATGTCGCTCCAGAAGTATGTGTACAAATATGGCGGTAACTAATTTTGTTCGCCTATTTTACATCAAGTTGTGTAAAGGGACTGAAACCTATGGGCAGGGGCATATTACTTGGCTAACACAGACAACCCTCGAACTCGTAACAGAACCAAAATAGGGAACATGGGAATAAAATTATAGCCTGAACCTAACCTCGTACACAAATTACGGGAGTACCTAATCAATTTCACAGTTCCCCGAGATTCTGGAATGTTTCATTGAGGTTACGCTTCACCAAAAAGGTTGCAAACCTCAAGCATAAAGTTTTACATTTTTTTAAATCACCCAGAACTCAATGTAGATCGGCACGGGATTCCAATCTGTGTACTATATCATACGACGCCTACGCAATTAAAGTTAAAACGTGGAACACAATGAGCCACCATCTCTCCAGGCTTCAACATATTTTGTCCAGAACAATTTCTCTAGGCTTGGCGTTGGGGAATTTTTCTAATTTCAAACCTTTACAAATTAAATTTTTTCGCTTCCACAAATGTGGCGAAAACATTTTATCCGAAAAATAGTCTTTTGATATAGATTGATATAATCATTTTAATCCTGTTTATCTTGCTGGCCATAAATAAATACCTTGCTCCGATGGCTCAAAGAGTAATCCATTATTAGCACAAAGGAATATTATCAAGCTAATCTAATGTAATTCCCTTTGTTTGATATACTCAATTATGTTGGCGCATTAAATTCCATCTTTTTTAATAAATTTATTATTTTTGAAGGATTAGCATGCGACCAGTCGTTTAAAACATAATTGACAATGTCAACATATGCCGCATGGTAAAGATTACGGGTCCGAACTAAACCCCCATCTTCACACATATCGTATGATAAATTGGTAAAGCTTTCTCGGGGAGAGATACCGGCCATTCCAAATTCAGAAATTAACTTTTTCGTGGATGTATTAAATTGAGTTTACTAAACGTCGTTTCCTTTTAAAATAATATTGCGGGTATCAGGTAATCAGAACGAAGCGTTACGCGAAGGACCCAGTGCCAAGAGAGATGATTAGAATCGGGAAACATTAAAAACGCTACCACAATTCGTCTTACCTGTTAATAACTACCGAACTAACGATGATTGACACGAATTGCAGCGGCGGGTTGTGAACATGGGCCCATGTATACTTCGCGCAGTCATGTTTTGAGTCTACATAGATTAGAGATATTGCGTTTGACGTAGCCGTCGCTGTTCAAAATGTGTTAACATGTAATATATTTTTTTAAGAAATTTACAATTTTTGTTAACTGACGTAGATATTGAACATTTAGGCCTTGTTAAATGGGATTTAATAAATGGCGATTATCGAAACGACGAACGAAACAAATGTATGTTGTTAAATGTAATTATCGAAGAGCGCATTTTGTTTTCGTCTTGCCAGAAAAAGGAGCGGGACTAATCAACAAGCGAGGTGCAAAGCAATATTTTGGGTAATTATCAACGGCGTTTCGCTAAAAACAAGGATCCAACCTATTTGAGGTTGAAAACCACTCAACAGAAAAAGGCTTACGACATCAGAATGCTTGTAATAGATACAACGAATAATTTAACCGATTCGAATATAATAAACAACATATATATACTATACCAACGCAATACAAAAATAAAGTCAAATCATTCTATATTGATGACAATACACGGATTTATTACAAATCCTATTATAGTCTAGTTGTCAGACATGTGCCCAAACGCTAATATTCTAAACTACTACCATAATCTAGAATCTACTCTATCGAATTCCGAATGTCTTAGAATATTTAATTCGTTCCGATCACACCTGCCTATGATATACTACGCTGCTGTAAATCAGTGCAACCTGTCTATCGCCTTCCCTTTTCTATATCATCGTTATCAGATCGGTAAAAATTTAAATCGAACAATCGAACGTGTAATACCGGACGAACTTGTCTCTCCACATCAACATAGTGGCCTCGGGGCATCTCTCACATTTAGGCCTTGTTTTATGCTTGTAAGCGACGATGCTTATGTAACACGTAAAGTATTAGATACGTGTTGTCTATAAACGCACATATTGTCAGGTACACCCGAAGTATGTGAACCAAGATGGCGGACACCGGAACGTAGTATGTGTACCAGGTTAGGGTTGGGCCATAATTTGATTCCAATTTTCCTTATTTTAGTTCTATTACGTGTTCTGGAACTAGCCAAGTGATTCCCGTAGTATTTGTAGGCTACCTGGAATTATGGCCTAATCTTAACCTGGCACACATACTATGTTCCGGAGTCCGCCATATTGGTTCACATACTACGGGAGTACCCATTGTCATTAATTTGAGTTGAACTGGGCCTCAGGGGTGAATTTTGACAAAGTTTTCAAAAATATCCCAGAAGCTGAAAATGAGTAGAATGAGTGACCATTTGCTGTAGACACACGAACAGGGGCGTTGCCAGAAATTTTCAAAGGGGGGGGGGGTTCTTAAAAAATTTTTGCCAATTAAATCGAAAGTGCTAGCGGGTCCGACCAAACGCTGGAATACGCGTGTTTTTACTAGTCTTGGGGTCTAAAAACCATTTCAAGCTACGAAAAATTGGCCCTGGCTACACCACTGCACACGAACTATTTGCTATTTATGATTGTAGCTGTTGAAGCAACGTTTTGTAAACTTCTCATGGGCATCGAATTGATCTATTTACCACAATTTAAAATACAGAGTGTCTAAAAATATATGAACCCCATAAAATTGGTGATCGAATTAATTGGTTTCATTTATTATGAGAACCCTGTATGTGGCCATATCCTATCCTAGTATAAATGTTTTTTTTTTTTTTTTTGATGGGGTAATAACAGAATAGCACTCTTTTTATAAATATGACGATCGTGGACTTCCACCATTATACACAACAAAAGCGGATGCAGTTGCTGACTCCCACGTCATACCAAACAATTCGCGGCCATTTATGAATCCCGGCAAAATAGTAACGTTTAGAATTTTGAGATGTTTGATTTGCACGGCGATCGTGCGTGCTAAAAGCGTGGCGTTATGATCGGGTCGTGGGAAAAAGTTATTCGCCTTGCGTGTGTACCAATTTATTTATTTTTTTTGCTCAGTTTAAAGTAGGGAGCTCCAGAAGGATGTGTACCAATATGGAGGTAACTTATTTTGTTCGCCTACTTGACATCAAGTTGTGCAAAGGAACGGAAGTCTATGGGCAAGGGGGTATATTTACTTGCCTAACACAGACAGTTCCCGAACTCGTAATAGAACTAAAATAAAGAAAATCGGAATAAAATTATGGCGTAACTTGGTACGCATACTACGGGAATACCGTTTATACTGCCTAGAGTGGCTTTATTTTGATTTTTATGTCACACGACTTCTGAACCAGTAAAAACTAAGATTTTAAAACTTCTTCGTCAGGAAAAATTTGTTGAAAACAAAGTTAGGTTAGCTAATAATTCGAGGTAACATTAACGCACGACTATGCCCGTAAATACCAAACATAGCAATTTTTCGTAGCCAAAAACGCGTTTTAGACCCTCAACAACCACCGGAGCCACTGACTGTTACGCTCTAACTTGGCAATAAGAAATTTCTAAACGCGCCTCCCTCGCTGAATTTGATGTTCTATTTTACTCTAAAAATTTGGGCAGACGTGCCTCAACGATGTATGTCTTATCCTTTATCAGAAGCAACGAGCTTTTGATATGTTTTAAATTAGTCTCTGGCATTATATACCAAGCTTATTTTTACATGCGGCAATTAAGTGTAATTTATTAGCTCAAAGGCAGTCCACAACCTGTACTATATTTAAAATCTTCCAATAAATATGAATATTGAAAAAGACGTAAAATTAACTCGTATTTGATCCATGGATGTACACATGAGGGGAGGTGGTACGAGCCTGAACCTTCCTATTCAAAAATTTAAAAAAAATTCTATATCAAACCCATCTTTTTTTCGTAGCTTGAAACGTTGTTTAGACCAGGGGTGCACAACACGGGACACGCGTGCCAAATTTGGCACGCCATACGCTCAAACGTGGCACGCGAACGGTTTTGTGGGGGAAAAAAATTATGATATACATTAAAATATCACGTTTCTATCAAAATCAGCAGTTTTTCAGGACATTAAATTGTTTCAATAAATAGATATTCGTTATTATGAATTATTATTGAAATTTGTTTGATGTGTGTTTTGTTTTACGGGAGTTAATTTACAATACCAACGATTGTGCATGGCACGCGACAAGAATATTTTAAAAAATTTGGCACGTATTCTCATTTGAGTTGTGCACCCCTGGTTTAGACCATCAAGAGTCAAGACTATTGAAAACACCCGTTTTCCTGCCTCCGCCCGGACCCGTTAGCGTTACGGTATAACTTGGCAAATCTAAATTTTTGGACAAACAGTTGGGTATGATATTTGAACCTTGTATATTTAAGCATTCCCGTTTACGGTTCGGTCAAACACCCAGACCACCCAAGCCAGTGTTTTTCAGACATTCCAGTGCAGTTCTCAAATTTTTTTTGTTCATTCTTTTTGCACAAAAACTCTGTAACCCCTTAACTTTCCATACCAGGATAAAACTAAAAAAAAACAAATAACTCTTTGCAATTTTTAAATGGTTTATGCCCCTTCTGAGAATGTGACTAATCTGTAAATCATGGCCCATTGGTTTAGAACTGGCGTTCTAGTGCCAGTTTACGCATTGATAAAAAATGATTGGTGCTCCAGAAGTATGCGCACCAAGATGTCGTACAACCTGAATCCTGAAAGGTACACACACACCATATTCAGGTTGTGCGCCATCTTGGTGCGCATACTTCTGGAGGTCCAAATGAATAATCAAAAAGTTATTTATAATGAAAATGTCATGGGTGGCCAAACAGAAACCTTTGTCATTTAGTCCATTGGAGGGCGGGCTTAGGGATTCATACGTATACTGTCTCCGAAGTTTCACTTCTAAGTTATATTCAACCCAAAGCAACTAAAGCAAATAATCTAGTCTCTTCATTAGATCGAATATATTTTTATTCCGTATATCATATTTTGAAGATATCATTTAAACGAGAAAAAACAATAAAATTGCATATCAATAGCATAAAAAATCAATCTTATCTCACTTCCTAAGTTCGCAAAATTGATCTTACGAAATAGTTAAAATAATGAACTTCAAGAAACATCAGACAATAGTACGATAAATTTTGTTAATTTAAATAAAAAGATTTTCACTTTTATAATCTATAATGAACGTTTCACATTTTTGCAGTGAAAAAATCGATTACACATAACATAACTTTTATCGTGTCTTATATTAGTAAATAGGATATTTTTGTTAAAAAAGAAATTCCACATAATATAATTTCACGGCGACTGAACTATGTCCAGCTCCCGTGGTACACGGCTATAGTCCAGGGATGTGAACAGTTTTTGAAACATGGGTTAAAAATTTTGCCCGCTCAAACTGGCGAGTCATGTGAGTATGACGTAAAAAGTTACATTTTGTAAACAATATTTACAGTGTTACAAAAGCAAAGGAGAAAAACAAAAAGCCTCGTGCAAAAACTAAATTTAATCGCAATCTCAACAAATTCCTTGAGCTATTTTAGCTAAAAAGAAATCGAAATTTGGTGTTAGTTTGGTTGTAGCAGCATCACGTGGGCCAGATTGAATTACCCAGCGGGCCGAATTTAGCCCGCGTGCCGTAATTTGCCCATGCCATGGATAAACACTAATGTCGACGATCATGTGAAATAGAGATGGATGACACAAAAGAACTTACATAGATAGATAAAATACATAAAATTCCCCCTGCAGTGCAAAAACACTTTCAATGTCAAAAACATGTTTGCTGGAATAATTATATATTTTCATATATTTTTTTCTGTGTTTGTAAAACACGAAAAATGTAAAATATTGAGAAAAATATCGAAAAAGATGTTGAGTTGATGCAATGATATGCTGGTAAAAGCGTTCATTTATCTAAAGTTCAACCCTCTTCCATCTCGCCGGGAATTCCTATCATTCTAAAAAATAGTGGCTTTTACCTTCTTTGGTGTGAAGTATGAAAAAACGTCATAAAACAGGATGTGGGACATTAATAAGACAAATATTGGCCACTTGTAGATTAGTGCTGCTGTGGAACAAAAAAATTAGACTGGTAATTTTATGATGCTTGTTCAGAGACATTTTTGGGGTGCAAGAGTGAAACTGCTGCTTAAAATTCGGCAACTTGTGCTACTCGGTTTCTCATTCCTGTCAGATTATCACTCCATCCGGAAATTTCAAAATCAAAAGTTACAATGCTGGTTAGCGAGAAATATAAAAATTCAACAGTTATATCAAGTACATAAAAATAATTTCAAAAACGATACACGAATGAAAAAATTATTTAAAATCTGAATTGGGTAGCGGTGATGCCCTGACGCCTCTTTTAGAGTCGATGCGATGGCGATTAAACGTTATTAAATTAAACACGTTGCATTGATGAAAAAAACATTAGCCTCGGGACACTCGCTTATATATATGTGTGAATTCAGGTTTAGCCTTTGGGCGTAGTGATAGCGCATTGGACTTAAATGAGTTGGCTTTGTATGCTGAGAGTTTTGCATTCAAATCCCACCTCGATTGGACTTAAATGAGTTGGCTTTGTATACTGAGAGTTTTGGATTCAAATCCCACCTCGCCCACCTGTTGGGTGAAATATCTTTATATTCAGAAAGATTTCGGTTATTTTAGGAACAAAGTTTATATACCAGTGCATGTGTGTTCAGATCGCTGTTTGGGGCGGCAGCACGAGACTTTAAACAAATATATATTATTTAGAGCTTTTTAATGAAAAATTCCTATTAGTCTTGCAAGGTTTTTTGATCCGTGAAGTCTTCCATAATTTTACTCCCTATACTTTGCTGCAAAATTGCGATTTTTTCCAAGGGATTTTGCTCAATGCAAGATAACGCGCGCCCTCGCGAACGTAAAATAGATGGTGATGGGTGACCGCTGAAATACCAAGAGCCACCGAATCTATATAGCGTTCCCATAAAGCCCTAATTTTTTTTAAAATCGCGAAAAGAATTTATCGAACCGTTGTTTTGGCCCTCACAGGTGTATTAAATGACGTAAAAATACTTCAACAATTATTGTTAAAAAAACAACAAACCTGGTTAAGATATATTAGAACTGACTTCATAACAAAATTGTAATTGTGAAGGGACTTTATGGACATCCAAAAGCAGGGCTACTCAACTATTTTACCAAAGATCCACATACAAAACTTCAAAATTATTTGGGTCTGGTCTTTCCAGAAATTTTATTTCGGCATCCCTAAAAGCGCACTTCCTCGACCGGCTAATGATTATTAGCTAATCAAGATTGTTTATTATGGTGTTATAGTTCTTTTTATATATATTCAAAACTATAAATGTTATTTTATAAAAGGAAACTTCAGAAGTGGGGCTAATGATCCAAAATAAAGAATCAGGTGCGGTCCGAATCAAATACTCGAAAGGTTAAAGTTACTGTTGACGCGGCACTTTCAATCAGTTCATGTCAATATAAACATAATTTGCAAGTTTTCCTCCGAAAATGTGAACTAAATATCACGATTATGTTAAAATAAATAAAATTGGCGGAAATTTCGATATATTGCCTGTGACTCGCTTCCCGAGTTTAAAGACCGCTTTGTTTATGCTGAGTTAACTTGAATATTTTCAAAGCTTTTCTTTGATTGGGATATTTTCGTTGAATTTATTTTGCCGAATATACCATGTCTATGTCCAGAGTTTAAATCGCAGAAATTGGAATTAATAATAAAAAAGGGGAATAACCAAATTAATATACCTCCTATTAATTTAAGGATTTTGCAATGAAATCTCGAAAATTAGGTTTTACTATTATAAATTTCGAATTCCATCTATATTCGAATTCTATCATAGTCTATTAGCACTTCTTGCAATAGGCGAAAGGCCCTATTTTTAATTGTGAATATTCAGGCGTGTCCATCACATGGGATGGGACAGCACACTTTCGTATTTCCCATAGAATAGTTCTGTATTTTTGAAGTTAAAAAAGTCAATAAATTTTGTCGTTTTGCATGTCACTTTGCAAACGCAGTCCTATTTAGTAGACGATACACGTAAATTTAGCAATTTTTATTGAATTGTATTCCAATGAGAATCCCATGGGATGGGACAGGCATAAAATTCTATGGGATAAGATGCCCCAAAATATGTCCCATGGACAAGCCTGGAATATTATCGGCGATTTCATTGGAATGAATAAAGTCTTCGAATGTCATAAATTGGTGATATAAGCTTCAAACAGTCTCAAAGTTATCCAGTGCCGTTGGTAGGCTTCATGGTTATTTCGGGAGGCGGTGTGACGACCGGGAGTGTTTCAGAATTTGTGACAGCAACAGTGGGGGCGGGGGTGGTCGATTGAGTAGTGGTTGTTGTGTTAGGTGCTTTGGTAATGGTGGTTGGGGGGCTTACGGTTGTGGTTTGCATTGTGGTGGTGGTTTGCGTTGTGGTATTGGTTCGCATTGTGGTAGTGGTAACGGCTTCAGCAGTGGTAACTTCCTCCATGGTCTCGATGGTCGTAGCATGAGTGGGCGATGAAATACCCATTGTAGTAGTGCTCACTGGCATTGCTGCTCCAGTTGTTGCAATCCCAGACCCTCCTTCCGTTGCAGTAGCCATCGTAGTGGTAGTTGTTCCGGTAGTGGTTTTCCCCACATTTGGTGAAAGTGTCGATGTGTCTGCATAAAGATATGTTAAATCAGTTAGATAAATTGTAATGAATTTTTCCGATGTGCTTTTTACTTATCGATCTTAAGATCGGTAAGTATGTTGATAGGTATTTGTCTGTCTGTATGTCTGTTAGATGAACGCGATATCTCAAGAAGGCGAAGTTGAATCTGCTCCAAATTTTGCATGTGCATTCATCATATCTCGGACCAGAAGCCTATTGATTTTGGATGAATTATGTCGTATAATTAGCGAGTTATTAATTAATTAGTGATGGGACACGCGGTGTCACTATAGAGTCATGGTTTGAAACCGCAGTTTCGATCGATAAGTCTTCGGTCTCTGACCGATATCTCGTGTTTATCTGTTGTTGCATTGCCATTGCCGCGTTTTCAAAGTCGGGAGAAATATGGGGGGGGGGTCATGGGTTGCAGGGGCGGACCATAGGGGCAGAGGTGTCATAACAACTTCCAAAATTGTAATAAATTTTAATATTTGTAATGAATTTCCCAATGTGTCTTATTGTAGTTTGTTTATCTGTTGTTGCAGGAGCGGGCCATAGGAAGTGAGTGCCATAGGGGCAGCGACCCCTGACAGACCTTTGCAGCCGTCCCTGGCCGCACATTTCATTTATTCATCCTCATGTATAACAACATCAATAATTTTATCTCCCGTATTTTTGAAGTTAGGTATAAGGGGCATCATTATCAGAAACTCGCCACGGGCAGTGAAAAATTTAGCACAAAGATTTTACTTTGTATTTGCGTTTAATATTACTCATATTTATACACAAATTATAAACTACCGTAAAAGTAACGTACTGAATTTTTTTTAACCAATGCCCTGCTGGTTACAGAATTGGACCTCTGTTTTCATACCAGGTTGAAGATACTACAATCAAACTTCGTGCCCAACGCTTCACCCAGGGTGCAATAAATTGTGTAGACAATGCCGAATAGTAAAGGTACCGGTCCACTCAAAATAGAAGCTCTTTACCTTCCAGTGGTCGCTGGTATAGAGAATTGTTTGGAGTGATTTTAAACTGACCGATTTCCGGCAACTCGAGGTCGACAAACAACGGCGAAAATGCTTTGCACTAGATTTATATGAGCGCTGCTGTTATGTAGTGAATTGCTGATATTCATAGTAAAGCTGTCTTCCGAATATGACTCACTGTCTCGAAATGCAGAGTCGACAATTATGAAAACCTCTGCCGTCAGACGACTAGTATGCAAATGAGTTGTGAAGGACATGGCCCATCGGTTAAACCGATAACAGTATTGACATAGCAGATTACACGGATCATATTATGCTCTTCACCCCAAACATACTTGGAGGGAAGGGATATTCATATGATTTGGCTCAACTGAAAGTATTCGACATGGCCTATAAAATATGTTGTTTATTCATATTATGTTGAAAGGGAGTATCTTCGTATGGGGGCGGGGTTCTTATGTGATTCTAACGGAGGGCGGGGGCTCATATAAGTCGATTACACATCTCGGATTCAAATTCTCACTAACCCAGGGGGTAATATATTATGGCGAGACTGGAGTTGTACTATTTTTTATTGTTTATTATTTTATTTATATTTCTTGTCTGGTTATTGCATATGCATTGGTGTGTGGAGTCTGAGCCCTGATTCGCCCGACAGTTGGTTTCAGTTACTCGACTCCAACCACCACTGCATATGTGAACTGCTTCGGATTCGCAGTGTCTGCCCTTCTTTGCTTTTGCTGTCGCTGAGTAAGGACCGTATTTTGTCGCTCTTATTTTATCTGCTTTAAAGCGTGGATTTTACACTATTTTAAAAAAGTCACTTCGTTTGCATCGTGAACTTCAAACCTATTTGTGTGTCTTTGCAGCACATTGGATCTTCTGAACCAAGTATTACAGTATTACTAGACTGTATTAGTGGCGAGCACCTACCGGTATTCCGGTTAAGTCGTACCGTTGCAATATTAATAAGGTAATGGCGAATCAGAAAGATTCGGTCGTTTCAACAATAATATCTCACTGGGCTTGTTCAAAGCGAAGGTGACTTTTCAGCTATCGTTAGATATCAGTGACCACTTAAACAAGACTTTTTAGCTTTTTAAACCCTCAAGACTTTCGAAAACTCATGTTCTCCGGTCTCCAATCGGAAGCGCTAGCTGTTACAGTCTAACTTGGCAATTGGAAGTTTCAGAACCCCCACTTTGAACATTCCTCACTACGACCCTGTCATTGGACGGTATTAGCAGAACCCTGTTGCTTATCCAACCACTCAATCAAGTGTTACGTGTTTGCAATTGACTCACTTTGTCCTGATCCTCCACCACCAAGAGTGGTTACAAGTAGAACAATGATAACGATAAGCAGGATCGCGATCAGAACCCCAACGATAATTTCTAACTTGTATTTCTTCATACGATCGCCAAAACCTTCCGGCCCTGGTCCGATCTCTTGACGACCAACGAAAGTGCCTGTAACGATAAAATATATTTTTGTTTTAGTAATTCCATTCAAAGAATTTCACCGAGAAAATTATGAAACAAGCCCTAAAAGTAAAACATTATGCAATGAATCCATTAAAAAATCTTTTAATAGAAGTTAGGGTAAATATATCAAGATGAGACTCAGATGGAATTTTTAAGATGAATTTTCATGTCTAAAATTTTCTGCTATCTATTTTGAAGGCGTGGTGAACGCAGAATATTCAGGGCATGACAGTTGGAAAATTATTCATCCAACTTAGCTTCGGACTCCTTGTTAGACGAAAACGACTTCGTCCCCTTTTCCTAAATCCGGAATACTGAAGTTTTTTTTTATTGGGCACGAAGGGATGGATCGTTTTGTTACTATGTTGTTGTCTTCCATAGAGGGCTTTAGGGCTGCCATATAGATAGTAGGTTAGTTGGAAATAGGAAATGATATATGGTCCCAATCGTACTTTGAATGACTTCCCCTGTAGTGAGCTATTGGGCTGCCATAGACAGCAAATTACCAATATTGTCCCAATCGACAAATGAAATGCTTATACACAATAAGAGGGCTATTGGGCTGCGACACAGAAGAGAGCAGGTTAGAATGGAAATATAGATGGACATGGTCTCAATCTTTATTTGAAATGGCCTCCCCCACACGGGCATATTGGACTGCCATACAGCAGGTTGTAAATAAGGAATATATTGCACAAATAGCCTTCTGCGTGGAGGGAACATCGGTATATCATTCTACAACAGGGATCTCCAACACGCGGCCCGCCAGGCATTTTTTTGCGGCCCGCGTCATGGTTGGGATTTTTCCACAATAAACTAAAGCGGTACAATGTCAACTATTAGTAGGTTTTATCGTGTCATTTATTATCAAGAGTCCGGTCCGACAAACTGTAAAAAATGAAGCAAAAATTTCCCCCTGTTATCCACGTTAATGTTTTACTCTATTGTTATAATTCAATTATAAATGCAATAATTTCATAAGTTCATTATTACGAAATAAACTAGTTTCGGTCAGTCCATTGTGCCCGAAGAAAGGTTTGCAAAGCTAATTGCACATTCACGTCGCATACCTGCGATGTTTCGCAGTTCTTATATTTGCGAGCAGTTTTTTTTCAACTATGAAAGTTAGTAAATCAGCCCTTCGCACACGACTAACGGACGAGCATTTGCATGTTGTCTTAAGACTAGCAAACCAACGCAAAATAAGGCCAAACATCGAGACCAAATATCCAGCACAAGTAAATGAATATGTTGTACCTAATTTCTTGCGGACTGCGTGGTTAATAAATTTAAAGAAATGGCCCGCGACATGTTTTGAGTTGGAGCCCCCTGTTCTACAACATATAAATTGCTGTCTTAATGATTTTACACAATATAACCGCTGTCAGCTACCTTTGTAAAAACCCAACAAAAAGCCAGTATTATGATAACACAATGGAGACGTTTATGACGCATCAATGACATCCTGTTATTTCCATCGACCTATCGAGCACTCGAGGTGAGAAATGTGTTTTAGGTGTCGCGCATTTTCTTAATTGAAAATAACGTAAATTTGAAGTGAATTTCAAAGCAATTCTAACCTTGTATTTGCGTTATTAATGTCGTTGAAACTCACGTTAAATACATTGATTGTACGTTGTTTGAACTGTTGAGAGGGTGTATGTACTCGGCCATATTTATGTATGTATATTGTATATATTGAAAATATACGCTCTACCCGGGGATGGCTAAAAGTGCCTAATATACAATTTCGAATACATTCCAATATAATATTTTGAATATAGAAAGTCGAATATATTTTCAATGATTGTCCTGTTCAACTACAAACACATATAAGTTAATGTAATTTTAATGAGTTGTAAGTTAGTAATACAAGAATGATAAACAGTGCTTTTATTAGTTTTACATTTCCCACTTGTTTCAGAAACGAAACCAAGGCCTTGATGTGAGACTTTTTTCTCAAAATGGAGTAGAACCAAGAATTTTGAATCGGTTTGAATATTCCATTCGTTTTGGACACCTCATGCTCTTTTTCACAATGATATTATTTATGGTTTAAATTTGTATTCCAGTAATTAATGCCAACGCGATTATCTGTTAAAATATAGTTATTGTAATGCTCAAACTCGTGTCTCTGTTTTTATATACGTTCGCGTTCAGAGAAATATCGAGTTGGAATTGGACTGATTTCTAAGAACAACATAATATCTTCCCCGAAATTGCAAGTGTATTTTTGTGAAAATCTTCATCTTTGCCGTTATATCATATTATCTTGAAGAAGTTAGATTTTGAATGCTCCGGAGTTGGAATAGAAATTCAAAATAAATGCCGAATCGTTCAATTTTGATTCCGTTGCCAGGGTGGCGTGATAGCGTCAACGCGCCTCTATATCGAATGTGATTTTAAAAGTGTCTTAATGGCGTTGATTTAATTAATACTACCGTCGCTTCAATAAATGTTGAGTTGGTAACGGATTTTAGTTGGTGTCGTGATCCAAATAAACCGGTCCAAACGCTGACCAGAGTCGAAATTTTCAATTAAAACAAGTCTTGCAAACGGTTTTTCTGTCGAGTCTGAATTTTTTAATCGTGTCGGAGTCGTATGTATGCATCCCACACCCTCTTGGCGTTCTTTATAATATTTTCGCAACATATTACGCATCGTGAAAAACGTTTTGACACTTCACATAGGTCGCACCGGTGTGACATATAGAGTTCCACAAATATGACTTCAAAAAGTTTTATGGAAAATTTGAAAAAGTAACTTACGTCCTCCCTCGACGTCTTCAGAATTCCTTTTCCCGTTTCCCGCCGTTACCGCGACTTCTGGAACAGCTAAAATGAATTAAAAATATATGACTTCGTGGATAAAAATATCACAAAACATTGAACTGGAAATTAGTAATTGTACACGTTTTACACCTTGGGTTATGCAGTAACATAAATTACTGTCTATCAACTGTAATTCTAGGCGTCTACTTATTTATGGATACCGCTGCTCGATAACCAATATCAGTTTCTCGCGGTTCCTGTCACCCTAAAATGCTTTTTCCTACTTTATTGTATATCTAGTGTGGTGGTGAAAAAAATACACTACTTTTTTGGAAAATACTGATATATTCTTGCTAGAATTACAGCATTTCCGGGTATATTTGGGTCAACTATCTTGAATTCGAACCCACGATCTGACTCATGATGTAATCCAAAGATGTGAAACATTAGTCGTCCATCTAGCTGGGCCGCACAAAAGATCCGTTTTTCCATGTACACAACGAAGTGAAAAATTTGACAATTTAACACAACGGCAACAGTAAAAAACATGTATTTGAAGCCAAATGGGACGCTTTTATAAACATAAACTGTTAGGTTAGAATTCTTGACAAGGGCCTCACTAAATAGCTTGGTGTGTTTTGGCGCGTGGGCCGTCTGTGTAATCTGCTTTGGTAGGCATTGTAGAACATGGAAGATTTCTTTTTATGAAACAGTAGCTATTTACGTACGAGTGGAAGCATGCACACCCCGTTGCTCGGATTATGTTGCGAATCCAAACACCGAATGCAATTGCTGATGTCGTTTATTGTATATATGTATACATTTTGGGAAGGGGAGGAGGCGGGGTATGGAACCAAATAATGCAGTTGTTGGTTTTGTAATCACCATGTCTTTTATATGAAAAAATTCAAAACCGGTTCGATATTTTGCCCGATGGAAAATTTTGGGAGGCAATACCGAAATTGAACAATCCCCCCATTCCCAAGAATGGGAGTTAATATATATAAGTGGTAGCTTGTAACAGTGTGTTTTTTTAATGGAGGCTTAAACAGGTTGATGAAAAAAACAACAGAATTTGGAATCTTACCGTCAATTTCGACGTCTGCTGCCCCAGCTTTCGTGTCTTCTGCTTTATTTTTATCGCTTATCAATGATTCGGCGTCCGATTCGTTGCTCTGTTGCTCCTAGGAAAATAAAGAAGTGGTTAGTGGCAGGTTGAAAATTTAGAGGAGGGGTGTGCAAATTGCGGCCCGCGGGTCAAATGCGGCCCTCAGCAAAAAATTGAGGGCCCGCGAAACGAGATTTTAATTTAGTTTGATCTGGTACGTTCCGAGTGATTCCAAGTCTATATCTGAGTCCAATTTATTATCTATGTATATGACGTTATAATGCCCTAACAGCTAGCTTGGGCAAATCAAACTACGCATGCAATAACCAAAAATTTTGTGCTTGAACTACTAGAAAGCCTGTGTTAAAAAGGTGTGGCCCGCGGTTTCACCCAGATTTTTGTAGCGAGCCCTCATGTATTAATGGCTGCATACCCCTGGTATGGAATTAAAATTCCATGACTCATCTAAATATGGTATGCAACGCAGGGCCGGAAATAAATACAAAGCAAGGCGTTGCGTAATGTGGCTGCTTGTCAAAAGCCTGGCTCGGAGCTAATTTGTGAACGAAACCTCATAAAATTTTCGATACAAATTGCTAAATTCTATACAAATTACTTTTCTGAAGCAGAAAAGCTGTTTTGGGTATAAACGAACGAGATGTATGTTACCAGTAATTCGTTAGTCGAATGTATAGTTTCAGTGTATAGATAATGTGTCTTATTCATATAAACAACTATAATCTCTCAGTTGTATGTATATTTAAGGGGCTATCTTAGTATGTGCACCAAGATGGCAGACATCGGAACGTAGTATGTCTACCAGGTCAGGGTTAAGACATAATTTTATTTTCCTTATTTTAGTTCTATTACGAGTTCGGGGACTAGCCAAGTGACTCCCGTAGTACTTGTAACTGAAATTATGGCCTAACCCTAACCTGGTACACATACTACGTTCCGGTGTCCGCCATCTTGGTTCACATACTACATGAGTACCTTTTTAGGTTAGGAAAATGGACCAATTTTTAGTTAGCCCAGCCCGCTAATATTATCCCGCCATGTTTTGTAATCACAAATTAGTTATCGTCCAGTTGGGTTAGAGTTGGGAATGAATTGAAATTTGAATTTCCAGTGCAATCTGCATTCATAACCCTAAATGGAAAGGTCCAGAAAAATAGCTAACATTCCACAGTGCTCATAAAATATTTGCATTTAACATACTCCGCTCTGGAGTAGTAAGAAAAATAGGAAAATAGCTAGGTTGTACAACATCCCAGATTTGTGGATTTCATTGCCAAAGAAAGTCGTATTCGACCTGCGGTTTCGCGAACCACCACCATGCGATGTTTACCTCAAATCCTTCGAATATGACGACTCTTATGAAGTTTGCCCACACAAATTCCTTCGTATGTTTAATTTTGTCGACACGTTATGGCTAGGGCTTTTTAAGGGCATGAAAATAAACCACTGCGTCGTAGATGTATTTTTTGGTGACAGGCGCGCAAAGCGTATATTTCTGCAACGTTGCAAGTTTAAACGGGAGGTACGAACAGAACTGAGCGCCTATTTCAAGTATTTCACATATGAATGGGCGCCATTTTTGTCCCAAATTTACAAGTTCAATATGCACCATCTTTTGTCTAATAAATACGTTTTTGACCAATATTCAATTTTAAAATTCCAGGGCATTTCATACAAAGACAAGAATTGTCTCATCAAAATTTAAATTCTCTCGTACATAGGCCATTTGTTATCCAAAACGGCACGTCTTTCTTGCGTTTCTTTTGACATCAGCAGGCGTGAGTCACTGATGAATCGCATTCTATTGGTTGGGAAATAGTTGCTTCGGGAAATTATTAATAGCGAAGAAACGCATCACCAGCAGAATTCGAGTCATGTAATTTTTGTGGGCGCTATCGCTAGCACATCAATTATATTAAATGTCTATCTCATGTAAGTAATAAAATATTGGATAGAATATGGGAGTGGTTCCTAGTCGGGGAACCAAAGGGCAGTCAGGGGGCACCATGACAAACGCAAAACTGTTTTTTCTTTCACTACACAATGAAACTCTTCGTTATGTGTAGTTGCTTGGTACGGTTATTTCACTGCGTATTTTCACTTTTTTGTTCATGAATTGTTTGAGCTTTCCATCAAAATGAACAACATTTACAGTGTAACAATAAAAATAACACTGGAATGCAAACAGGGGGACATAAAAGCTAAAAGCCTTCGGAAGGGGGTGTCGAGATATAGAAGGCTGGGAACCACCGGAATATTACAAGATGAGGAGACATCGCTTACCCGAATATGGCCTGATTTCATTTGAAACATAAAGCAGTAATTTCTCAATGGGACCCGCTGCTATTAGATTTATTTGAAAATTAGTTTTCATGAGATGTACAAATACTACAATAAAAAATTTCGTGAAAAGTCATATAAAAGAGTACGATGCTGACAATGTTGCCATAATTTCTCAATGGAACCCCGTACGCCTTCTGCGGTGCCAAAAGCATTTTATCTTTCCGAAAGTTGTACCGTTCTACGTATCTGTGGCTACTTGTAGAACGTCGTGTTCGGAGTGAAGGTGCAAAATCGTTTCGTGAAAGTATGGCTTGTGACGTTTCATAAATGTTGTTTGATACTCTTGATTATTAAATATAACGGACAGTTTTTGGGTTGACTGCAAGGATGTGTAATCAAGAAAAACTTGGTCCCAACGACTCTTCCCCGAGTAGACAAAAATTTGAAAGCTAGACGACTCCCGAAACAAATCCAAAGGCAGTATCGTGGCCGGATGGGGAGGGGGGGGGTTGGAACCCTCTTTTAAAATGTAAAAAAGAAAAAAGTAAAAAAAATCCTCGGGACTTTCGAAAACTCACGCCTCCCGCTCGGACCACCCAGCTGTTACGGTCTACGTTTCTGGCTATGCCCCTGCCCAAAGAAAACTCCTATGCGTTTTCATATAACGTTTCCACGTCTATCCCAAAGTATAAACTTTCCCTGATGCCAGACGTTCCAAACGATGGCTTAACTACGGTATATCGTTTGCTATTTACCTGTTGTGAATCTACTATCATAACCTAGATTATCCAAATACAAAACAGATCAAACAAAACACACCATAAGATCAGCGATTGGGCAATAACATGATATTGTCGTAAGCATTTTAGGTGAAATACAAACCGGTATGCGTTGAAATTTAATGCTATTATGAGGACTGTCTACATACACATTCAAAACGACTTGAGTCGGTGGAAAATTTTTGCCATTCGACGACATATATACCATTGGTTGCATTTCACCAGATGGCCGGTATAATATACCATAAAGGTTCTTGGTACCAAGGGCTGAGATTATTACTTATCGATCTTGATCGGTAAGTATGTTGATAGGTATTTGTCTTTTTGTCTGCCTGTTAGACACTTTCGTATGCGCGATATTTCACGAAAGCGACGTTGAATATGCTCCAAATTCTGCATGTGCAATTACCATATCTCGGACCAGAAGCGCATTGATTTTGGATAAATTATGTAATATGGTTAGCGAGTCATTAATTAATTAGCGATCGGACACACGGTGTCGCTATTGAGTCATAGCGAAGGATACACGCCGCTAGATCGATAAGTCGACGGTCTTTGTCGCTATCTTGTTATATATATTATATGATATTAGCTAAACTTTTATTGCCGGGTTCCTATGGTGGGTCAATAACAAGATGTATGTGTACCAATATGGACTACTTTACATCAAGTTGTGTAAAGGGACTGAAACCTATGGATATTCATTTGCCTATCGCAGACAGTCCCGGAACTCGTAATAAAACTAAAATAAGGAAAATCGAAATAAAATTATGGCCTAACCCTAGCCTGGTACACATACTACGGGAGTACCAGAAATTGATGGCGGGGTCATAACAGGCTAATTACCATCAATTTTCTCTTATCTATCGTTTATCAGTTATCTTGTCAGTCACCTCGTCATCATCTTCTTTATCATCCTTTGCTCCTTGTTCATTGTTTTCCTCCTCTTTCTGTTCTTCTTTATTTTCATCATCTTGCTTCTGTTCTTCCTTATCTCCCTCTTTTCCCTCTTCTTGTTCAGGCTTTTTATCGTCATCTGTGGCCTGCGGGAAAGAATTTTCAAGTTTAAGTTATGAAATGTGAATGCGATGTTCTAAAATGGTTAAAGCAGTGGGAACCCAATGCAACATTAGAAAGACTTGAGAAATCCCGTTAAGTAGTTTAATGGTATCTTCTTCTCTCAATTGTATAAACCAGGGGTGTGCAACCTTTATTACAGGAGGGCCAGATTCAAGTAATTGGGTGGAGCCGCGGGCCGCACTTTTATTTAAGGTATAATTTCTAGTAGTTGAAGTTTTTGCTAGCTAGTTTTGCTAATATTACAGTGGCACCCGGGTACTGTTATAGGCTTTGCGACGCAAGGGAATTGGAATTTTGTCGCACGTACCAGAATTACTAAACCATTAACCCGCTTGCGGCGCAATAAATTTTGCGAATAAATTTTAAATTCGGTCTCTTTCGATAGAGCAATATCACAATCAGTGATCTTCGAGATTTGGTGGATCGGAACCCGAATGTAACATTCCGGAGCCCCATGTAATAGTTTAATTGTCATTTCTTGTCCTAATTGTATAAACTAAAGTACATGGAACTAAAAGTAAATGGACCATCATGGTCTCTAAAGTGTGGCAAATTTAACCCACATGGGGCGCAATAATTTTTGCGAAAAAATTTGAAAATTTGTCCTTTTCGATAGAGCTAGCAATAGAGCAATGTCACAAGCAGTGGCTTTCAAAATTTTTGGTTGATTTGAACCCAAACGTAACATTCTGAAGACTCGAAAAACCCATTGTCAATAATTTATTTCCTTTTCATGCGTGATTTGTATAAGCTATAGGTAAATAAAACAAAATGATCTTTGAAGTTTAGCAAGGTCAATAATAGCGACAAACCTAATAGGTAATTGATTATATGTAAACCATATACATGTATTAATATAGACTTTTGTATTTGAATGAAAACTCGAAATCATTTTTCTGTATCATAGATAGTCATTTTCCGTAGCTTAAAATGCTTTTTAAACCCCAAGGCTCATAAAAACACGCGTATTCCAGCGATCGGGCCCGCTAGCTGTTTCGATCTAACTTGGCAAATAAAAATTTTTAGAACCCCCACCCCCCCCCCCCCAGCGTCGGGCTTGATCATGTTGGTTAGCATCGTATACTGAGTATTTCAGGCATTTTGTCGTTTTCCGCGACCAACATAGATATTCAAATTCAGCAACGGAATGTAGTTGCTCTTATACTCGCTCTAACTAAGCCAACGATACGATCGCACCGGTGACTTAAGTTCCTCTTTGTATACATTATTTTCATACCTGTGTTACTTCTTCGTTTTCCTTATTTTCCTGCGTTAAATCTTCCATTTGTACTTCATCCGCCATCGTGATTCGATTTTACAGTCCCAAACGAATTAAGTTCTTTCTTGTCGACTTGTGAAAATTCACGACCTATGTGCACTTGTACCGCTGACAAGTTACAATGTAGTATTAAGTTATACTCTGTATAATGTGAAATAAAGAAATTATATAGTTGCATACTAAGTCGAGAGTTTTGCCGTCTGTCTTCTTAAAACTACAGTTATTCCTGTAAAAATGGTGCGCCCGTTGGCCTGGTGGTTTAAGCAATGAACTTCCCTTTCCTGATATCACAGGTTAAAGGTCAAAGTTCAGTTCTCCTCACGTCCATTTCATCACTCAGTATGTAATACATTTGGTAGGCAATACCGAACGGGATAGAATCTAGACCTTCCAAAATTGAGTGCTTTAACCGCCTCTGAACAAAGTGCTCACAATTTCTACTGATACCTCTTACTTTATAATATAGGGTGTCCATGAAGTCATAAAATTTTTAAAATTGCAAAGGATTTTATCGATACCATATATTATTTTGGCCCTCACATATGTACTAAATGGAGTAAAAATAAGATTAAAAAACAAAATACCTAGTTAAGATATATTAGGAACTGACTTCACAACAAAATTGGAATTGTAAAGGCACTTTATGGACGCCCTGTATATACATACTTACTTTCTAATCTGTTCTATAAAATCAAATCCATAATACGCTTCTACCAAAAGTGGAAAGAAACTGCAAGATTCCATTGCAGCTCTTAAGTCTAAAAACTACAGATAAAGTTAATCGTACAAATTTTTCTTGAACCCGCCTGTTACGTTTACGACGTTAATCTGCTTTTTTGTATATACTTGAGTCCAAAGCAAGATCCCGATCCCTCGACTGAAGTTAGAAAGAGTAGGCCTACTGATAGAATAGTTGCAAGTTTGCTCAAATCAAGGTCCCGAACCGAGTACTGATAGAAGAAATAAAATTTTGAGACCACTGGCGCACTAACAGTTATTCTCCCGGCATAACTATTCGCCTGTAAGCTTTTACATTATACGCGTCCCTATTGTGCTAACCTAGCACAGCCGTTCGCAGTAATAATAAGCCTTGTTACTGCACCGAGGTCGAAACAATTTACGCTGCCCAACCCACGTTGTTCACTACTTGCGCAAACGCGGAAATATGACATCATTCGATGAAAAGAGGTCTTTCCAGTCGAACACGTCATTCATTTGCCTCGCAATGAGGATTGTAAATCTATCGCAAATTATGTTGCTCTCCTATTGTGTACCAGATTAGGGTTAGGCCATGATTTTATTCCGATTTTCCTTATTTTAGTTCTATTGCGAGTTCGGGGACTCGTCAAGTGACTCACGTAGTATTTGTACCTGAAATTATGGCCTAACCCTAACCTGGTACACATACTACATTCCGGTGTCCGCCATCTTGGTTCACATACTACGGGAGTACACATAATTTTATTCCGATTTTCCTTATTTTAGTTCTATCACGAGTTCGGGGACTGTCTGTGTTAGCCAAGTGCATATACCCCCTGCCCATAGGTTTCAGTCCCTTTACTAAACTTGATGTAAAGTATTTCTCTTCCTGGTGTCAGAAGGTACTCTTAACTTACGTCAAAGTTATTATAACCTATACGTAACTGAGGAAAATTTCTGTTGTCGAAAAATAATTCCCATCTACAATGGCAATATGCGTCACTTTCCTGCATGCTGTCAATGCGAAAATATGCCAGCTGACTCAAGTTTGCAAACCTAAACGACAGACTTGCTTTTACTTTCAATCACGTCGGCCTTCTTGTTTCTCAAAGCAAACGATAGCCTAACAGTAATATCGTGTTATAACTAGGGACGGTGAGAGGTACTCGGGTATTCAATCAACAGGTTTCAATTTTTTGCTGTCAATTGTCATCCAGGTGGAAATTTTAAAAGTTTGAACCCCCTCAGGACCTGGTATTGTATCGTTTTCGATCACACAGAAATTCTCAATAACCGACATCTGCATTAATATTCTATTCTCTGTAATAGTGCTACACACTCACAGCTTTTTCAATTATGTCTATCACGCCTGTTCCCTTCTTATTCATCTCATAATGCCCGCGAAACAGTTTTAATTTAGTTTAATCTGGCACGTGCAGGTAATTCCAATCCCTTTGCGTTGCGAAGCCTATACCCGAGTCCATGTTATTATCCATGCCTATGACGTTACAATGCCCCAGTAGCTAGCTTTTGCGAAGCGAATGACGCATGCCATAAGGTCAATAGCCAAAAATTTTGTGCCAAGAACTAATGGAAAGCCTATTTTAAATAAAAGTGCGGCCCGCGGTTTTACCCAATTATTTGTATCTGGCTTCCTGTATGAAAAGGTTGCACACCCCTGATATAGAGCCTTGTTAAGAGCAAACACCTTATTTTAGCAAACAATGCGACCGATATTAAGATTTACGTTCGAAATAGAGTAGGATTTACATATTTTTCTCGGCGAGATGAAAGCCGATTATATAGCCTACCCGTATAACCAACGTCAGCCTCTTGTCCGTTTACCAAACCATATCGGGTATGGTAATAGTTGGCCAGTTACACGTATGCTAAGGCTTCATGCTGGCGAAACCGTAGGTCTGTGGTTTACAACATTTTAAATTACTCACTTAGATTACTCGTTAAATTACTCACTTAGCCTAATTTGGAACTCAATATTGTCATCTATAGCTAAGGATTTTTAATCGACCCTTAGCTAGTGTTACGCGTCGCACACCCTCTTTTGCACAGTTTTGTAGGTATTATGAGCTCATAAAAAAGTATTATAGTAATGATAATAAAACTACGGAATATTAGCAAAATTACAGTAAATAGAAAGCGAAATTGCTTCCCGGTTGAGGAAACGCAGCAGTAAGGGATCCGCAGTTACGTGCAAAACTTCTGTCTGACAATCACCTCAATGGAGTAAAGTCCCTTTATTACAATTTCAATTTTGTTATGAAGTCAGTTCTCAATATATCTTAACCAGGTTTGTTGTTTTTAAATCAGTATTTGTTAAAGTATTTTTACTTCATTTAATATACCTCTGTGAGGGCCGAAACAATATATGGTATAGATAAATTCCCTTTGCAATTTTAAGACTTTATGGACACCATATCTATACAATATCAAGCGTGTTCCTACCACTCATCACAGTGCGCCAACCGCCCAGTCAAGAACGTATTGATTAGGGAAAGACAAATTTGACATTGCCTCGACAGTTTTCTGAAATAAAAGGATTGACGGCCAATTTCTAAAAATAGCGAAAGACACATTGCGCGCGACCACACGTAAAGTCGCGCAAAACTTTTGCTAGGTGACAACTTATTTATGTCTTGCAACCTTATTGCACGTGATTCAATGGTCTCATTGCACACTAACACGAATGATCTCTAAAATGTATCAGTAGTTTCATGTCATAGTAGAAATATACGGTGTCTATGAAGTCTTGAAAATTTTTGAAATTGCAAATGGAATTTATCGATACTATATATTGTTTTGGCCCTCAGATGTATTAAATGAAGTAAAAATATTTGGACAATTACTGATTAAAAAAACAACAAACCTGGTTAAAATGTATTGAGAACTGACTTCATAACAAAATTGTAAGGGGACTTTATGGTCAACCTGTAGAGTAGTGTATGTACCAGGTTAGGGTTAGGCCATAATTTTATTCCGATTTTTCTTATTTTGGTTCTAATACGAGTTCGGGGACTGTCTGTGTAACCCAAGTGAATATACCCCCTGCTCATAGGTTTGAGTCACTTTATACAACTTGATGTAAAGTAGGCGAAAAAAATTAGTTACCTCCATATTGGTACACACACTTCTGGGACGCCACGAAATGTACATAGGGTCGTTTAGTTATTTTGTTTTGTTTGAGTCAATGAATGATTACAGGATGGGATGGATGCAAAAAAGGGAATCACTGTGACACAGTATATGAAGCGACATGATTGTTCCTGGTACAGCGCGTCACAGCCCAATTCTTCCTTTATTACCTTGAGTTAGTGTCGAGAGCGCTCCAGAAGTATGTGTACCAATATGTAAGTAACTAATTTTGTTCGCCTATTTTACACCAAGTTGTGTAAAGGGACTGAAACCTATGGGCAGGGGGTATATTCACTTGACTAACACAGACAGTGCCCGAATTCGTAATAGAACTAAAATAAGAAAAATCGGAATAAAATTCTGGTCTAACTCTAACCTGATACACACTCTACGGGAGTACCGTGGCGGGTAGGATTTCGAAAATGAGCCTCCTAAAGCACCCACTTGCCTGCTCCTTGTACTGCGACGTGAAAAATTTAACTTCTTGCTCAACATCTTACACTACTAATCTTGACTAATATTCACCCAAGCCTGCATTTGTCATTACTCGGAGTGATGATATCGCAAGTGTCATAATTTCCTGCCAAGTTGGAATGATTAACAAATGAACTCGCTCTCATCAAGTAACTCAGTGATTCCAACCTTTTTTGACATATTCCAGCTAGTTTGAATCTCGTTATTCCTTCCCCCGTAAAAACTCTGTTTCCGGCATTTGATCAATATTCTAAGCAAGAGTCGGCAACCTACGGCCCGCGGAGTACTATAATCCGGCCCGCGACGCTTCGCTAACTTATTGTAACAAAACATTCGTTTTGAGAAATATATTAAATTATATTATAACCTAACAATTATATAATTCACAACTACTCGTTTAATGATTAAGCAAATGGCAACAAAACGCAGAAAAGTTGATGCTAAGTGCAAAGGGTTCAATGGCGCTGAAAATATTCAAATGGAATTTTATGAGATGCAATGAGCAAATAAATCTATATTCTATTCGAGAGATGTATCACTGCTTGATTTTTATTATAAAAGTACCATCCGTTCGGTTTTTCAACTTTCTAAAAATATGTTCGACCCGCCAATGACTTGCAACCTCAATTTTGGCCCGCGAGCGACAAAAGGTTGCCGACCCCTGATTTAAAGCATGGGTGTGCAACAGGCATGAGTGGGCCACAACCCGGCCCGCCAAGCCATTTAGTGAGGCCCTTGTCAACTCTTATATTCAATCCCAATTCATCAGTTTAAAGAGGCGTTTACGTGGGTAAAAATACATGATTTTGCGCTG